GGGCGAGGGACGCCAGAAATGGGCTTCACACATTGTATCCATGAGAGGAATCAAACCCAGGCCTTCGGCGTGGTGAGCGAACGCTTTAACCACTAGGCTACCCCTCCGCCCCCTTATTCGTAGAATTTCGGGCTACAGGACTAAGGTAATGATTTGGTTTCTATGTCGTTTTTGTACGATTATTTCGATAGGCTGCCAGGTCTGCTTTCTATATATACTGAACCACAAAAAAACGTCGCTTTTCAAAACCAAATGCAAGATTTTGTTCTTACAAAATGGTGTTTTTATTATGATTGTATCGTTTTGTGAACATGTTTTTCAATCCAAATTGACAGTTATTACCAACATCAGTGTGTTTTCTGAGGAAAAAGCTTATTGACCAAACGCACCTTAAAAGGCAGACGTGGTAAAATGTTCCGTATGACATTCGTGAAAATGAAAATGCAGGAGCATATCGTGACAACCGTACCAATGAAAGCGAGTCCCAAACTCGCCTGAAATCATTTTTGTTTTGACACAATCGTCATGGTACGAATTACGAGAGATCAGAGGAACCAAGACTTTGGACGATTGCAAGTTGACCAGACTGCCAATCATTTTAATGTTCATGTTAGGACAATCTACCGACTGCAGGAGTGGTATCGGGTCACGAACAGCATCCAAGACCATCCACGCAGAGGGCGACCTTCAGTAACATCACAATGTCAAGACCGACATATTGTGCGCCACCATCTGCAGGGTCGCTTCCCAGAGCGACGGAAACAACACGCCACACCATTGGGACTCACAACAGACCCATCAGTGCCGATACAGTGCGTCGGCTTTTGCGCGGAAGAAACCTCTGCTGTCACAGACCATATCGTAGTCCTGTCCTCACCGCTCATCACCGCCCAAACCGACTGCAATGGGCAACTCAGCATCGAAATTGGCGTTATCGACAATGGAGAACTATGTTTTTTTCTCATGAAAGCCGATATTGTGTTTCGACAGTCGATGGCAGAGTGAGAGTATGGTGAAGGCGTGGGGAACTGTTTTCCAATGAGTGTATTGCTGAAAGAGACTCGTGGGGTGGTCCAAACATCATTGTGTGGGGTGCAATCGGTCTGAACCAGATGACACCGTGGTGTTCCAGAATCTCGGTCCAGGATGAGGAAATGACGTGACAGTTGCTCGCTATATTGACCAAGTAATAAAACCCCACGTTGTAACACATTTTGGACGTTACAAAAATCACATCTTCCAGCAAGACAACGCTCGTGCCCACACTGTCAGAGTAACATTGGACTTCCTAAAACAGCATGGCATCGTAACTCTACATAGCCTGCACTCAGTCTTGATTTGAGTCCAATAGAACACCTTTGAGACGAGATTCAAAGAAGACTGAATGACCGCCACCCAAGGCCGATAACTGCTGCTGGACTCGGTCAGGCATTTCACAGAGTATGGACCCTAAGTGCCTATGGCCTTCATCAACCGGCTAATTCATTCCATGTACAGGCGATGCAATGCTTTCATCGATGCCCGTAGAGGCCACACACAATACTGATTTTGGGGTATCTTAATGGTACCATTTTTGGTGATTTTGTCTGTTTGAACTCTAAATCTGATTGCCGAAAATGTGTTAACCATAATTGTCAAGTTTGAACTCAATCCTCCGTTTTGTTTGTTCATTAGAATGAATTACAGTCTGTGCTTTAAGAAACCGCTATCAGTGCGACATTTCTTTTGTGGTTCAGTATATGTTTGAGAAATTGTGCAACACGATCTAGTTCTGGGCATGGCTGTCCATTTTACCAGACAGGCTATCTGCCATCAGTACACATGGCCAGATGAAACCAAGCAAACACACAGAAAATGAACACAGAATTCCTATGGATTGTTTTGTTCGTTTGTTGTTTAATGCCGCGCCCAGCAATATCCCAGCTATATGGCAGCGGTTTGTAAAACATCAAGTCTGACCCAGACAATCCAGTGATCAGCAGCATGAGCATTGATCCACGCAATTGGGTTACGATGACATGTGTCAACCAAGTCAGCAAGCCGAACAACTCGATCCCTTTAGCTGCCTAAGGACAAGCATGGTTTGCTGAAGACACCAAATTCTAACCCGGATTTCCACGGTTCTCGTATGGAATGGAACCAAATCTATTTTTATGAATTTTTTTAAGAATGAATTTGGTGTTCCGCTTAAGACTAACCACAAGTCTTTCATATGTAATGGTTAAAGAGTACAAAAAACAAAAGTTTATTCGTTCTTTAAACAGTTAAAATATATTTCACTTTCTGGAGCGACTCAATCGTTGTTGCATTCCATTAATGATATTAAGCACGATACGATTATGGTATAGTTCCGCAATATGGAAATATTCAAATGAAAATCAACGGTATCTGATTTACACGCACTCGCACGATTTAAAACATAACAACAACAAAACATCAAGAAACTGTAACAACAAAACCACAACGTACCGCTGTTCGTTAGCATGAAGACTCCCAAGACGACAAGAGGACGCATAGCTGATGATGCTGTCAACGCCTTCGTTGAAAGCAGCTTGATAATGGAATGCTGATATTTTCAGAAAATGAAGATTATCCTCAATCTTTCGAAAAAGGAGATTTTACGAGCTCTGTTTGCAAAATTGGAAATAATTTATAAATATTTAGATTATTATGTCTATTTTATTTCTGTTTTGAATCTAATGACTCTGTGATAAGAATATCAATAATGGAGCCATTGTCATTGGTTGTTTTATCATATTTTAGTATCGTCATATCATATTATTGTTTGATGGATGGGCATTGACTTTTACATTCCAACGATGGCAAATTGTGAAGACACTGTAGCAATAAAGTGAAATTGTTCAAATAACATGAACCAAATACACATGATGTCTTGTGTCAAACGCACTGTAGGGTAACTTCTGAAAAATACATAAAAAATTCCCGAAATCGTTGTCGTTTCATAACTCGTTAAAGGACCTGATTGCCTTTAGACCGCAAAACTCCCCATCTTAATATTTTTTTTAGGACGATAGCAAACTGAAATGGCTCTTTAACTTGTGAAGGCACAATAACCCATAGGAGTAGTGTGCCCTTGAAACGATCTTACAAAAGGAGATTTAAATAATTTAAACGTGCCTTTTTGACGACCAGAGAGCCAAAATCAGATTGTTTTTGCTCATCATCAAGACCCGAAAAGAACACAAGTTCTGCGCACAACTCGATGTAATTTCCAGGGTTTTCGGTCTTTTAACAGAACAGAACACTATACAATGGCTTAAAAGGCACATTGTGCTTCCTCAAAAACAATAAGCTGTCATCTCCTTCTCCATCTGACGAATAGTTACCCTCTTAATGAAAGGTTCTTGGCCAAGGTTTGGCGTCATCACAACTGTTGACTGGACTCCTTTGAACGTCAGTCCTGTTGAATGCCTCCCCCCCTCTCTCTTTCTAGAACGGATCACTTTTGGTGTTTGGTAGAATGAGTCAACCAGCAAAACACAATGTCGCATTGGCCAGAAGCAAGATCATTGCAAAGCTGTGAAATATCGAAATTAGTCTGAGACTTTGGTGGTGAATTGGTAAATTATTCTTACAGGCATTCTCCAGCATAAACAATGGAGTCATAGTCCAATTCGAAACGTACTAGCGACCTATACAAGTGGAGACGGGTTGTCTAATCCCCTCCCCACTTTGAATTTGAAACAAATCTGAAGCCTTCTGGCAATTTTGTTTTAGATATTTAATATGTGGCAAACACGTCAAATGGTTGTCTAAAAAAATCAGTAATATCTGGCTTCTTTACCATTTCAGTTGGAGTACCATCTAAAACAGTTCCGTATCATTGTGGGGTTTATATTTTCGAAAGGAATGATTACTGTCTTGGTCTGAGAAAATGTAAATCCATTCCAAAGTGACCCTTTATGAATTTTGTAATGGTCTTTCAACAGTGTGCAAATTATTACCATGTCATGAAATATTAAAATCATTCACAAACACTGATTCTGGGTTCGATTCCCCACATGGGTACAATGTGTGAAGCCCATTTCTGGTGTCTCCCTCCCGTGATATTGCTGAAATGTTGCTAAAAGCGGCGTAAAACTAAACTCACTCCTTCACAAGACTCGCGTGTATCTAGACCGCCGTGATTTGGATGACAGATTGCTCACTCACCACAAAAATCGTAAATTCTCATTGAAAACAAAAAGTATTTTCTTTTTTCGACATGAGTGATATTACAATAAACATGTGCTGTCTGAAGAATAAGATGTATCCCGACTCGTATCTGTCATTATAAGAGAATCCAAAAAGGTACTTCGAGTCTTCGACCTCATCACGTTTTTTTTTAAATACTTTTGACAGAGTTAAGATTTTGTGTTGAACAAAATGACAGACAAAATACTGCCTTGTGGACACCCTGTTCCTGATTATAATGGTCAGATCCAACACTATCAGAAATTATCGGTATGTTAAAAAGCGAGACATATAAGCATATACCTATATTAAAATACCATGCTTCCATGTTGTATCAAAAGTGTTTTTATGGATTAAAAAGATAGATACAGCATAAGCCGGTTTTAGCAATGGAGTCAGCGGTTTCACGGCCGGGGAATATTTCAGATATCACGGCTGGGGACACCAGAAATGAGCTTCACACATTGTATCCATGAAGGGAATTGAACCCGGGTATTCGGCATGACGAGTGAACGCTTTATCCACTAGGCTACCCCTCCGCCTCTATCTACAATCACGGCGGCATTGTAAAGGAATGATTCCAAGTGGTCAAAGGTGCTTCTATTTTTGCGCAAACCACATTAAATGTATCTAAAGACAGCATGTTTACGTACGTGTTCCGACGTGGGTCGGTCTGTTTACAATATAAAATACAATTTAAAATTGAGACTTGTTCATATCTACATCCGAAAACAAACATGTGTGATTTTGACTTCATGTTGCCTGTTGGCTATGGGAAGTCTGCATATGGAAAAGAAAAAACAATATTATTTATTCTGTTTTCTTTTGTATTCAGGAAATAAGAAGTACATACAGACAGATCAAGCAAACGGCTACCGGACCAGGAAGTATCTTTAACCAGGAAGTATCTTTAACCTATAACAACGGCCAGTATTTACGTCTGGGACCCGTGAGAATTCGGGTTACAATTGATCTTCAGTAATCCACGCTCGTCGTAAAAGGCGACTAACGGGATCGGGTGGTCAGGCGCGATGACTATTACATGACAATAATTAATTAACTTCCTTTCACTTGCCTGCTCGTCTTCTACAAAAGGGACTGGATGTATTTGGCCCACATACATTCTTTACTTGAAGAAGATATAACCTTATACTCGTCAATTAACCTTGTTGAATGATCTTTAGACGCACGCACGCACGCACGCACGCACATACACTGGAATCTGGTAGGGTGCCTAATTTATCTGGCAAAACAATGTCTTTTAGTTCATTCACGTACAAGCGGCCAGTCAGACACAGACACAAACGCACGCACGCACACACACATTTGTCATATACTGAGAGAAATAAATAAAGGATCACAGGAAAATGCAAGTGTTCCTTTGTTATTTTCCAGTTTTCATCGCTACATTGCTATTCAAAGTTGGTGATGAAACCTGGAAAATATTAAAGGAACGCATGCATTTTCCTGTGATCCTTATTTGTTTCCCTCAGTATATATTCTGTTTGTTATTACATTCGTAATATTCCTCCTTAGTGACGGATTCGTGGACTCTTTTTGATTCCTCAGTTACATATGGCAATGTTCTTGTACGCTCTGAAGGCACACACAAATAGGGCGACTATACACAGCAACAAGTTCAACTCATACGTAGAAAGACCCGTTGAATATCTTCGTCTTCTTGGCATCTGGGACATTTGTATGGCTGTAAGGGCACTGAAACAAAACAGTGAAACAGCATTTAAAAGTACATTTGACGGCGTGGGCGCTTACTGTGTGGAGATTGCATATGTAAATGTACCTGTGCAGGGTGCTTAACCTTAGCAATGCCCATAGAAACCAAGGGGACACAACTCGATGCATGTGGGATCGGGTTTCGGCGATAGTGAGTGAGTGCGTTTAGTTCTACACCGCTTTTATCAATATTCCAGCAATATCACAGCGGGGGACACCAGAAATGGGCTTCACACATTGTACCAATATGGGGAATCGAAACCGGGTCTTCGACGTGATGAGCAAACCCTTTAACCACTGTGCTATCCCGTCGCCACAAATTTGCCAATAAACAGTTATAGATTCTGTGGCTTGTCGTAAGACTGACTGAGTTTAGTTTTACGCCGCTTTTAGCAATATTCCAGCAATATCACGGCGGGGGACACCAGAAATGGGCTTCACACATTGTGCCCATGTAGGGAATCGAACCCGGGTATTCGGCGTGACGAGCCAACGCTTTAACCACTAGACTCCCCCACCGCCCTCTTGTCGTAAGAAGCAGCTGAATGGCTTGAGAGACCAGGCAAGCAACGGCTTGCAATATCAATCATTGGTTAGTCAGGTGGCCGCCCAGTGACTGGACGATTGGTGAGTATGGCGTAAAATAACAATCAACGCTTCACAAATGGCAAATACGATAAAAGAAAAATAGTTTTTCCCATTGCCAATTTACGAATTTACAGAGGAGCAACGAGCACAAGCTTTAACCACTTGGCCCCGGCTTCGGCGATAAGGGTCCTCTCCGCGCGAAGACAACTTCACAGAAGATTGTTTCAGTGTGATCTTGACCAATATCTGACCACACAAGAAATCTCTGACTGACCTTGAGAGTTCACCGGATGCGACGTCCTGGCCGGGGTTGTCGCGAACGTGTAGTAGTGTGGGGGTGTTGATGGCTGTTGGGGGTATTGATGACTGGGTTGGGTGGGTGGGTGCACAAGTGGAAAAAAGGTTCGCACGTCACGCCGAAGACCCTGGTTCGAATCTCCACATGGGTACAGTGTGTATAGGTCGCTGTGGTGTCCTTGTCGCGATATTGCATGAATATTGCCAAAATAAGCATAAAACAATACCAACTCATTCATTCATTTACTATATATTTATATCTCATAAAGGTGGACTGACGTGCACAGACAGACATTGTGACGTCATTGGCTATGATTCATTCGTTTTTCTTTTCGGACTCGGAATATTTACACGTCATCTTGATATATCGAAGGTGAGGTGAGGTGAAATTGGGTTTTACGTCGTGCTTGAGAATATTTCGCTCATATGACGACGTGCATGCGTGTGTATGTGTATGTGCGGCTGCTTGAACTAGCCCAGACTGAAGCTGGTTTTATAGTGCTAGCCCACTGAGATACCATGCCGCAGTGAAGCATGAATACCCCACTCAGACACATTATACTGACTCCGAGCCGACCAGTCCTTGTTGTACCCATTTGTACCAACAATTACCATATTTTAACGTCTTTTGGTTTGACGCGGTCGGGGATCGAACCCGCGACCTTCCGCGACGCTCTAACCACTACACCACGGAGGCGGTCCTTGATATATCGAAAATACTGGGATACGGCGTCACACAACTATCACTCAGAAACCTACATGTCGACATTCATTCCCGCAGCAGGACCCCCTCTTCAGGTGAGCGAGACTGGTCATCACTTGATAACCGGTTGCTGGGTCGATATAGAAATCGTTCTTTGTCTGGAAACAAAAACACATGACAGACTGGATGGCAGACATCTGGATAATTTTGAAAATTCAGAATTATTGTACTTGTTTGTGTTCTTTAATTATTGTCAGGCACCAGGCCGTAGCAGTCTACGACAACAGCTAAACATTTCTTTTAACGTATCGCACTGAACAAACAATCAATCGAGTTAAAAGCTCGCACACTTCCCTGCGTTTTGAGTAAACCATCTAGGCAGATATACAAAATATGGTATCGGTTGTACCCTTAAAAGAGAAAGTACGGTATCTTCAGTTCAATCTGGACATGGTTTTCGCCGTCTTAAACCATCTCTGCACGAATGATTAGATCCATGTACCTACCTCCATGGCAACTACGTGTCGTTCGTGTATCGCTCTTTCTGCCTCGGTGAGATTTTGCGAATTAACTTGTTGCAGTCGTTCCATAATCCGTGGATATTCTTCATCTATATGTTCAGTATTATCTCCGCACGGTTCACCACTTGACAAACGACGAGAGCTGTCCATTAATCTGTCTTGACAGTGTGTGTTAGACCATCGAAAATAGGGTACACTAACCCTCGTGCGACTCCAACTTGTGAACCGGCGGTAGCTATGATGGGATATTATGCCAGGGACAGCGGCTCTGGGGACAACACAGCTAACTAGTGTTATAGATACGGGAAGCATCACACGTGAAACTGGTCCAGAATCACTTAAAACAAGACATAGCTCCTTAACAATACAATGACAACACAAGCACGGAAATGCGCAGGGTGAAGGTCAGTAATCTAAATTTAGATATGATATCATGTTTAGTGATACGTGATTGGTCAAACCAGACACACCTCCAATATTTTACGACTGCTTCTTAGGATCCAAATACACATTTTGATTGAAGCCGTTTTCATTTACAAGCTTGATAATATACTATTGGAAATATAAAATTATGTAGTGTTTAGAAATAGGAATCAATTGTTTTACACGATATATGCACACAGTTTTGTTCATGATTGTAAGTAGCATTGTATCTAAACAAGTCTTAAACATTATTCTCTTAGTATATTTATTGTCAGATGTTTCTCTCATAAATACTGTTGTTTACTATGCATTCAATGTCATTGTTACTGCTCATGTCTTAAATGTTGTTTTCTTAACTCTGATGTACACAAAATTCCCTTTCGGACAATAAAGCACTATCTTATCTTATCTTATTTAATCAAATAATTACAGCTATAAAACCCTCTTCGTTCTATTAAAAAAACCCTATTTAGTTTATTGTACGATTTCATTTTATTCAGTGATGACACCAGGTGTTTTAGAAAAAGTTGGCCTATCCTGCCCCACCGATGGTACACATCAAAGACACATGCATAAGTAAGAAAGAATATAATTAACATTGCGAATTGGTTTTCTGATAACTAGAGAGCGGTTTCATGATAATTCCGCCCATTTTAGTTCTAACACTATGATGTATTTATCATTGTCAGATTTAGTTAGTGTGCACATAATAAACGTGTTGAAATTTGAAAAGGGGACTATTTTTCTGGCGATGGTGTTCAAGGAGTGATATGATTAACCTTTGACCTAGAGGAACTTTGACCTGGTTTAAATAATGAATTTCTTTCACGAAACAACAGCGCAAAACGAGTTGAATCAGAATGGGGATAACTGTACTGTGCTTGACGAATTGGGGACATATACCGGTGGTTATATAGCCGCACATTTAGTTATATCGGCGACGCAGTACAGTTATCCCCTAATTATTACCCCGGATAAACCAAGCTGCCTGTGAGGCACTAGAAGGTTAAGTCATATTACTTCTCCCACCGGGTACCCATTTTCTGCTGGGTGAACAGAGGCAGTTTTGAAGCAACTCACTTGTCTACGGCGAGACCACATGTTTCCCGTGTGCTTCGTTGTGAGGCAAGACAGTAGTCCTAGAAATTCTCACGAGTCAAGATGCCAAACACGACCACCCATTTAAGGACTCTCAGTGATCAACGTTACCTTCAACTGATTTGTGATCTGACCTAATGTTTTCTGAACAGTTACACGGTTGTAATGTCACTATCTAAAAAATAGACACAATATTGGCAATGTAGTGACTCTTTTGGGGAAAATGCACTCTTTTTCAACTAACGTGTCAACTGTTTCGATCTCAACTTACATTTAACACACTAACTCTATCGCCTCTCTCTCTCTCTTTGGGGCGGTGGGGGTAGCCTAGTGGTTAAAGCGTCAGCTCGTCACGCTAAAGACTCGGGTTCGATTCCCCACATGGGTACAGTGTGTGAAGCCCATTTCTGATGTCCCCTGTCGTGTTATTGCTGGAACATTGCTAAAAGCGGCGTAAAACTGAACTGTTCATCACTGGATTGTCTGGTCTGGACTCGCTTATTAACAGACCACTGCCTTATTAGCTGGGATATTGATGAGAGCGGCGTTAAACAATATTCCTTTGACTTTTCATTTCTGGTTACTTTCCACTTGTTACCTGGTACAGGTAGCTGACACCATGACACAGGTAGCTGTCACCATGACACAGGTAGTTGTCACCGTGGCACAGGTATTATACCCAGTGAGTAACAAATAAAGATAAACACAAAGAGTACCGTTTACAGTAACGGAAGACAACGCCCTGATTTGCGTTTATGTGGAGAACTTGATAACCAAGATTTACAAGGGGGTTCAAAATAAGCTGCTTTAATAACCCTTGAGTTAACATGAAGACAATAAAACCTTCATGCTGTTAAGGTGTCCGAACAGTAGATTGACCCATTTTTGTATTTTAACAACGCATGTGACAATAACGTCATACGTTACAATCAGAATGGTCGAGCGCAATGTCACTTCAACGAAGCCTAGTATATATTTCTCTACTACAGCAGGGTAAAGACAGACCCACCTCTAGAGGATGAACAGGTGAGTCGATATGGTAGAAACATTTAACTAAAAAACACTTAACAAAACGTATTTTACAAATATAGAGTGTTGAGTGATTTGGGTTTAGCTCCTCGTTGACAATTGGTATGATTATATTATGTATCTGAAAAGTGAGTGATTGAGTTGGTTTTATTGCCGTTTTAAACAGTATTACAGTTCTGTATGGTTAATATGGGATGAAAACCCGAAGTAATGCATATTAGACATTTGTAACATCCACTCAGTCGGGTTACAATAAGACACATTCAAATAACGTGCTGACGGCACTGTAAACATTTACCGTAAATTATTTCAATAAACGTCTGTCAGCCATACTGCCAGAACTTTACGGCATACCGTAATTACTCATACCTTAAGAAATACCGTCTAACTCTGGCAGCCATACCGTCGGTACAAAAACCAATTACTGTTGCGTTACGGTATGCCGTAATTATTCATACCGTAAAATATATGCCCATTGGTCAAACTCTGGAAGTCATGCTGTCGGTACAAAAACCAGTAGCTTTACGGTATGCCTAAATTATTCAAACCATAATAAATAGGGTGAAATTGTAGTAAACGTTAGAATTCCGTGCATTTAAGATAAACTAAAGTCATCGTATATACAAGTTAACTTAGTCTATTTGGCCAATTAACAATTGGAACGTTATAACATGTTAAAGTTTAGCTATAACATCGTACCTATGACAGATGTGGTGCTACAATCGCTGTTCATATTCCTAAATTTCAGTCTGTAGTTTGTTTGTAAAGATATATTGTAAACATGCTTCTGTCTATCTTAGTGTGTATGTGTGTTATTGATTTAAGTACTGAATCTCATCACTCTCATCCTCTCTGCTAATGGGAGATGAGAATGTTCATTCACTTCGAAGTTTAGGCACTGTATAATTTAAACGAAAAAAACAAACCCAAACAATTGGATCCTGTCCAAATGCTGTCGCACATATTTGAAAGTTTTTGTACAAAGTAAGCCCCCCCCCCTCTCTGTACGTCATGTACAAAATCAATGCCCCCTCTAAATTTTAATATGTTTTTCATATTTTAATGCATAAAATTGATGACACCCCCACCCCCACCCCAGAAAGCAATGATTGATCCACCCCTACCCCTCACTCCTCCTTTAAAATCATCATCACCCCCCTAGCCATCTATACCAAGTATCACCTACTCACAACCAACACCTGACCTAACAAGTTAATTAATAGTAGCAGTTAATCCAGTTACAGGGGTGTGAGTACAGCTAACAGAACAGCCAGGCGAGGGGCTAGAGGTACTAATTAGTGGCTTCTAACAACAGGGGGCTAGGGGGACGGGGGCTACCGGGGTGGAGTCAATGTATGAACGGTCCGTAAGCAGGAAACATATGAATAACTTATCTGCATACTATGACACCGTATGTGTACGTTCAACAATCTCTTTCGCAATGACTCCTCTTAAATTTACCCGGATTTGAGAGAACAATTCCACTTGCGATACCACTGGCCTATGTCAAATCTATAAATAGGTTCTGAGTAGGACGGGTATTTTCGGGGTGTTTGTTTGCATCACGAGACGCACTTCACACAGATGTATGTGAGCATGTTGTATTAATGTCATGCGTTCAAGAATGAGGAGGTGTTTGTTTTCCGAATTGTGCAATGCTGATACTTTCGAAACGTATTGCTGTGTTGATCAACTGATTCCTAGTGAAAATTGATCCACGGTGACTTTGTTTGGTCGTAGGATACCGAATGGATCTGCGGTCTTAGTGCTTGTGTGGTCCTTACGCTTATACCTTAACATAGACTTTCGACAAGTCTTAGCGCTATGGTGATCGTTTCTCCCATACCATAACATAGACTTACGACGACCTTAGCAGTAAGGAGATCGTTACTCTCACACTTTAACTAGACTTATGACAGTCTTAGCGCTAAGGTGATCGTTACTCCCATACCTTAACATAGATTTACGATAAGTCTTAGCGCTAGGTGATCGTTTTTCCCTTGCCTTAACATAACATTACGATAAGTCTTAGCGCTAAGGTGATCGTTACTTTCCCCATATCTGGTGTCCCCGATACCGTAACAAGTCTTAGCGCTAAGGTGATCTTTACTCTCACATTTAGACTTACGAGAGTCTTAGCGCTAAGGTGACGGTTACTCCCATACCTTAACATAGACTTACTACTGCCTTAGCAGTTAGGTGATCTTTACTCTCACACTTAGACTTACGAGAGTCTTAGCGCTAAGGTGATCGTTACTCCCATTACTTTACATAGACTTACGACGGCCTTAGCAGTAAGGTGATCGTTACTCTCACACTTTAACTAGACTTATGACAGTCTCAGCTCTAAGGTGATCGGTACTCCCATACCGTAACATAGACTTACGACAGTCTTAGTACTAAGGTCGTTTTCTACAACAGCAACCCGGTTAGAACAGATCCTCAAGAATCAACGATGATTGTGTGTGTGTTTGTTGTTTAACGCCGCACTCGGCAAGATTTCAGCTATCTGAAATAATCGAGTCTGAACCAGACAATCCAGTGATCAACAGCATGAGCATCGATCTACGAAATGGGATACGATGTGTCGAGACTCGATTATTTACAGAACACCACTAATAGCTGGAATATTGCTGAGTACGGCGAAAAACTCAATCACTCACTCACTCACTCACTCACTCAACCTTATAATGTGTATAAAGAATGCACAAACATAAGTCGCTCGGCCGGCGTAGGTGTAGCAGTGTAGTGCCAGACTGACGCAGCAATGAAGGGGTAAGTTCACGCTTGTGCTGCTGAATACGAACGTGACAGCAAACTGCATTTGTCAAGATACATACACTTGCGTAGCCTCAACTTACAATCCGTTTGGTTTCATGTGAGACCTATGAATTGCTTATTAACACAAAGTCTAATTATTGCAACAAATCCAAGTAGAACAGACAGGTGTGCGAGTTGCACGCGAGAAATTGAAAAATGTCACTACACACCCTTGTTGATTACTCGGCTGTTCTACCAGCATATATATATATATACGTTTGTTAAACAACTTTTTATTCGCTATTGTCCAAACTGCGAAATTCATGCTTCATCACTGACGTCAGACTGTAAATAATCAACAATCCGGTGATTGACAGTATGAAAATAATCAACAATCCGGTGATTGACAGTATGAGCAATTATCCATGCCACGCGCACAATCAGTGTCACCGTGCCTCCCATACCGTGCCTGACCACCCGATAACCACGCAGACCAGACACGGTCTATTGGAGTGAGTGAGTGAGTTTAGTTTTACGCCGCTTTTAGTACTATTCCAGCAATATTACGGCTGGAGTCCTCGGCGTGACGAGCGAACGCTTTAACCACAAGGCGATCCCACCACCCGTAACCCTGGGGTCCGTTGTACAAAGCAGTGTCAGCGGTAACTCTCAAACCTTAACATAGAATTACGGCTGACAGTGCTGGGCGTTTAGGTCGCCTTATACCTTAACACAGAATATCACTGACATTCTTGGCCTTTAGGTCGTTTTGTACAACAGCAACATGAATCCCCGCTTGATTCTTGATTCTCGCAAAGAGGCAAGAATATTGTTATTGGCAAAGGAAAATCTTTTTCTGTCCGCGGTGTCAAGTCCATTTCTGGTGTCCGCCATGATATTGCTGGAATATTGCTAAAAGCAACGTAAAACCATTTTCACTCACTCACTCACTTTCTGTCCCTGTTTCTATACATAGAATTTTGTTCTTTGAAACGAAATAGGAAACACATGTTTTAGACTTCCGACACAGTTGAGAACAATTAGGGTCGCTGGTTCACTCAACACGCCGAAAACCTGGGTTCGATTCCCCACATGGGTACAATGTAAAAAAAGCCCATTTCTGGTGTCCCTCGACGTGGTATTGCTGGAATATTGCTAAAAGCGACGTAAAATCACATTCATTCACTCACTCATTCACTCACTCTGCACAATTCGTCAACATGTTGTTTTTTACTTTTCCAGCAAAACAATTCTTTTCGCTCTTTGTGCGGTGTTATGGGTGTGTCAGGTCGCTGGGTATGGGACCTACAGGTATGAGATACCCAATGGGGAGAGGATTCAACACCCTTGCAAACCCAACTTTTATTGGAAGGGAGTTGGACATCGGAATCAACAAGGTGGAGGTGCCAGAAACCAGTTTGGGTTGGACTTTGCTCGTAATGGACATAAGGTAACTGATATAGCAGTCTCTCTTACCCGTGAAGATCCGAGTTATAACGGGTCTTCAGTAACCCATGCTTGTCATAAAAGACGACTAACGGGATCGGGTGGTCAGGCTGCTGACGTGGTTGACACATGTCATCGTATCCCAATTGAGTAGATACTCATACTGTTGATCAGTGGATTGTCCGGTCCAGGTTCGATTATTCAATGTGGTTTGCACACGGAGGGGTAGCCTAGTGGATAAAGCGCTCGCTCGTCATGCCGAATACCCGGGTTCAATTCCCTTCATCGGTACAATGTGTAAAGCTCATTTCTGGTGTCCCCCATCATCATATAGCTGGAATATTGCTGAGTGGGGCGTTAAACACCCAACCAGCCGACCTGTGTCTCTTCTTGACGATAATGAAGCGTGCGATTATATGGATAACAACTTCTTGTTCATTATAATTATTATAATAATTCATTTCGGCAACGTCATGCAGCTTTCGATGACGTCATGTAAACGTAAAAACCTCATTTGTAGGGATCCAGTTATTCGAACAAACTCTATTTCCGGGTATTGTAATTTACTGAGTGTGGATTACGCCCAGTTTAGCTATGTTCCAGCGATATCACGGCATGGGCGGAATCGAACGCGTTAACGAGTGAACGCTTTAACCACTAGACTACCTACTGTTGTGAATATATACGATTAAAATCTCTCCCTGTACATTTATGAGTTGCACATCCGGAAGATTTCACTGCAACAGACAAACCACGTGTATTCTGGATCTTTAGCAATGCGGGTCATAGTGGGAGGTTACTTATGTTTCAGTGGAACCGTGACCTGTGCTTGAAGGATTCCGATGGCGATGGTTTGACCAATGGTCAAGAACTTGGAGATCCCCAATGCACGTGGTCTAAAGGCGAGGTCCCAGCCAGCATCGATGGCCTATCACACCCGGGTTAGTTTTTACGAAGGTTTGACTGTTATTTGTTTGTGTAAAGGACGCTTTTCTTTTAGGAGCTTAATATGTTGATTATGTATTCATGACTCTTGATAGAGGTGCCCTTTCATGAATCTGATATCTGTTTCAGGGGTCTGTACACCCTTTGGGTCTCCAAACTGTAGTGGCATGAACGACTGGGTCGATTGTTCATCAGAGGAGTTCAATTGTACTGCACTGGATAGTCCAGGTACCTATTGATTGGAGATTGTTTTGTTTAACACTGAGGTCAGGCTGACACTTGGGTAGCAGATGGGCTTGGCTCGCTGGTCAGAGTTCCTCCCTCCTTGTCCCTGGCTTGCCTTCTGCTGGTCGGCCCGTGCTCTTCCCGCTGTCTGGCAGCTCCCCGTCAACTTGTCTATAAAGGCAGATGAACGACTGACATTCTGGTCGGCAATTGTCTTATCTCTCACAAGTGTACACGACAAATACTGTTACAACCCGGATTAGTAATATGCGGAATAATAAAATCTTGATTTTAGCAGCCGCCATAGAGCTCGAAAACAGATTGCGGCGGAAAAATATAATTTAAGAAAAATGCAAATCTAACTCCATACCATCTTTAGATATAAGGACTAAACCGTTGCTGTAAACATAAGTAATCTCTGTTTAAAGAAGAGCTGATTAGCACGGAATTGGTAGCCATTGGTCACAAACACATGCAAAGGCAAGCCCCCCTGGAGTACATTTGAAAGAGTGAGTTTAGTCTCACGCCTCTTTTATCAATTTCAGCAATATCACGGCAGGGGACACCAGAAATTGGCTTCACTCATTGTACCCATGTTGGGAATCGAACCCGGGTCTTCGGTGTGACGAGCGAACGCTATACCACTAGACTCCCAAGCCGCCCCACATTTGAAAGACATAATAACGCCTTAAATGCTGTAACACTGATCAAAGAACTTCCAGCATCGTATGCAACCTTCCAAGCGAAAGAGTACGTTCAACACTGAACCAATATATTCCCTAGTAATAGCATGTTAGATAGTATCTCAGAAGTTAATCTCCAAAGGCTGGAGTTACTGGAATATTTCTGCAAAGGGAAAGTTTCAGTCACCTCTCTTGTCAAACAATTGTGCGAATATTGTAATGTCACGCTAACTCATTATACATAGACACAGTCTCGCGTCGCTTTAATTGCCCTGTGAAAAGGGATCATGATTGTTAAAATATATTCCGCACGATTGGGAAAATAGGTTAACATGCCAGCGTCATGGTATGTTTGGTCATGAAAGAACATATTCAATGACAAATAAGTTTCGTCAATATCAACCCTTTTCTTTATCAGTAGGAAGGCGGTGGGGTGGCCTGGTGGTGAAAGCGTTCGCTTGTCACGCCAAAGACCCGGGGTCGATTCCCCACATGGGTACAATGTGTGAAGCCTATTATTTTGGTGCCCCCTGCCGTGATATTGGAATATTGTTACAATCGGTATAAAAGCCAATTCAATCACTCATTATAAGCAGGGAAGTCAAGATAACCCTGTCATTATGAGCTGGTCAAATAGTACAGCTGTCAGAAAAAAGAATTTGTTAACCGGACAAAACCAAAACATTGCGATTGCCCTATGAACCGTGCATACAACGGTTCGCTGAAGACATTTATTTTGAAATCTTTGATAACCATTTAATTCCTTGTAGACACACAAAATTTGACGCTACGGTTCCCAAGAACTCAGGTTCCAGCACAAGAGACCACCTACAAATGTATGCTATTTGACGTCCCTCAAGACCAGGACTACCACGTCGTGGCTATCAAGCCCTACATCGACAACGACAACGTCATGCACCACATCCTCCTGTACGGCTGCGGTGAATTTGATGAAACAGGTTGTTAATATCTAAATATATTTATGATAGTTTATACATGTATTAAATTTTTAGCATATTGCGCAGAAGACCCGTGAAGCTCCGGGTTAGAATTGGTTTTCAGTAACCCACGCTTGTAAGAGGCAATTAACGGGATCGGGTCAGGCTCACTGACTTGGTTGACACATGTCATTGCGTAGATCGATGCTCATGCTGTTGATCATTGGATTGTCTGGTCCAGACACTTTAGCTGGAGTATTGCCGAGTGTGGTGTTAAACAAGAAACAACCCAGCAATATTCCAGCAATATGGCGACAGTCTGTACCAGACAACCCAGTCAGAAATAGTATGAACAATTGAGATACGATGACATGTGTCAGCCAAGTCAGCGAGTCTGACTACCCGATCCCGTTAGTCACCTCTTACAACAACCACGTGTGGCTAAAGAGCGATTCTAAACCGGATGCAAGAATGTAACGAGAACCTTTTACTGTCTTGGCCAATAGGTGACCACCCCAGTGGACCCTATGACTGCAATATGGGAGCCGGGAATGGCTGTTCGGATATTCTTGGAGTATGGACCCTCGGAAATCCGGGTTTGTGTTTCCATGACAAAATGGGAATGCTTATTGGAAAAAATGGTTACAAGAAAGTAGCCTTGGAGGTAAAAATGAAATCAATACCGTTTAATATTGATAAAACTTATATTGATTTGTTTTTTATAAAAACATTGTTTACATGACCGGAAACATGTATTTGTCCTTTGTTCGTGATATGGATAACGTTATGGCCTTTGGCCGTTCCATCATTTGAAGGTCACCTTTTGAAAACCGATTCTTCATCGTATCTTGACTGACTTGCCTAACTAATCTGAAAAGAAGTATACAAGTGGTGATTTGGATTTTTTCCAAAGAAAAGGACATAAATGTTCTGAGTATCTTGAAATTATGTTTTTTAAAGTGTTTAAATTGTGAGTTACAAGTAAAAACATTGGGTGCACACACACACGCACACGCGCGCGTACGCACAGACATACACATACACTTGCATGCACATTCACTTCAAAAGGACAATACTCTTACAAAGAAATTCAAAGGAAAAAAAAGAAGAATATTTTCACATTTTTCTATTTCATAAAGTTTCATTGGAACAACCCCGCGAGTGAGAGCAATTGGACTGATGCATCTGGGATGACGTTGTTCTTCACCGACATCCTGAGACCATACAATGGGGGAATGATGACCATTGGTCAAAACTTTCTGGAAATTCCCCCAGGGCAACCGAAGACCATTGCTACAGCCACATGTTCACCTGCCTGCACATCCGCAGCTCTCAACACATCCATCCACGTCACAGCCGCCCTGAACCACATGCATTATCTGGGTAAGTCACAGCCGCCCTGAACCACATGCATTATCTGGGTAAGTCACAGCCGCCCTGAACCACATGCATTATCTGGGTAAGTCACAGCCACCCTGAACCACATGCATTATCTTGGTAAGTCACAGCCGCCCTGAACCACATGCATTATCTGGGTAAGTCACAGCCGCCCTGCACCACATGAATTATCTAGGTAAGTCACAGCCGCCCTGAACCACATGCATTATCTGGGTAAGTCACAGCCGCCCTGCACCACATGCATTATCTGGGTAAGTCACAGCCGCGCTGAACCACATGAATTATCTCGGTATAGATGCAATATTTCTTTCTAGACATTAACTACTTCTACATATGCTTGGTAAACACTGTATGCTATTACAGTTGTAGATATTTACAGCCATGTGTATTGGATGTATTATTTGTTATAGCGTATGTTTATTGCATTAATATTTATAATGTTTGCAACATATGTTCGAACTCATATATTCTCTTTAAAAATGTAGGGGCACTTCATTTCTAATTTACGATTGAAAAAGTTGGGAATTATATCTGAGTTAATGTTGATATGATAATAATGAATGTTTTGAAGGTGCATCACCACTTGCACTTCCTTATGACCATAATTGCGGTATAGTAAATCAAGAATGACACCCCACGCACATGCATGGGGCTACTGTGTTGAGCACGTGCATCCCATTGTGTTTAGGGGTGGTGGTAAAGAGAAATGATGGTGCGTTCATAAGAGGTCTGTCTTTGAAAAATTTGTTAACGCTTATACTTCCTATACAAATTGAAAGTTCAATTTCCCCTAATTTTTTTAAAGTATATATGATGAATGTTTTGTTTAAAGTTATCATGTGTACTAGATGTTTAATTTTTCATTACTTACGTTTAACTTATAAATATTGTTTATATTATATTGTTAGTACTATAAGGGTAATGCTATTTTTGAGGGCATATCATTTGCAGAAGCCCAAGGTCTTCCATTAACTGCCCGACGAAGGAGGGCAGTTGATAAAGACCGAGGGCTTCTGCAAATGATAATGCCCTCAAAAAATAGCATTACCGTTATTATTAAGTAAAATACATGGAATTTGTGTTGAAAAGAAAAAGGAAACAATGAAGGAATTTGACTGTACGTTTACCCAAATCAACTTCTGACGGGCTTGACTGCCCGAATGCAATTACGTCATCGAACAATTCAAGTGACGTCACAACAGATAGTGACGATATTCGACCTTGGCCTTTGACAAGACCATAGCCTGCAACATGTAAAGCTATGACAGTGTTCGGTTTTGGTCCATCAACAGTCTTAATAGTGCAACTGTCAAGGTTAGCACCAACAAGAAAGCCAATATTACAGCTATTTAAAGCGGGAATTGGGGTTGCTTTGACTTGTTTGACCCAGAATATCTGCCAGTCGAAAGCCACTAATGTCGAACTATGACGTCACTTGACAACAGAACTGATAGTGGCCCGTTGTTAAGGTTGAGCGGTCCAATATCATTTGCAGCGGACCGCAAATTTCTGATAACAGGAGGGCCGTTTCATGATAATTCCATGTATTTTAGCTATAAGCATAAATAATGCATATTTTGTGTTTCAGTGGTCATGTGTATTGTATGTGTTATTTAACGTACCTCTTGTGTATTGTATGGGTTATTTGACGTACAGCGTGTATTGTCTGTATTTTTGTAATACTCGTGTATATTGTATGTGTTATTTGACGTACCTCGTGTGTATTGTATGTATTTTTGTAATACTCGTGTGTATTGTATGTGTTATTTAACGTACCTCGTGTGTATTGTATGTATTTTTGTAATACTCGTGTGTATTGTATGTTTTTTTTACGTACCTTGTGTGTATTGTATGTATTTTTGTAATACTCGTGTGTATTGTATGTGCTATTTAACGTACCTCGTGTGTATTGTATGTGTTATTTGACGTACCTTGTGTGTATTGTATGTATTTTTGTAATACTCGTGTGTATTGTATGTGTTATTTAACGTACCTCGTGTGTATTGTACGTATTTATGTAATACTCGTGTGTATTGTATGTGTTTTTTTACGTACCTTGTGTGTATTGTATGTATTTTTGTAATACTCGTGTGTATTGTATGTGTTATTTGACGTACCTCGTGTGTATTGTATGTGTTATTTGACGTACCTTGTGTGTATTGTATGTATTTTTGTAATACTCGAGTGTATTGTATGTGTTATTTGACGTACCTCGTGTGTATTGTATGTGTTATTTGACGTACCTTGTGTGTATTGTATGTATTTTTGTAATACTCGTGTGTATTGTATGTGTCATTTGACGGACCTCTTGTGTATTGTCTGTATTTTTGTAATACTCGTGTGTATTGTATGTGTTATTTGACGTACCTCGTGTGTATTGTATGTGTTATTTGACGTACCTCGTGTGTATTGTCTGTATTCTTGTAATACTCGTGTGTATTGTATGTGTTATTTGACGTACCTCTTGTGTATTGTGTGTAGTTTTGTAATACTCGTGTGTATTGTGCGCTTTATGTATATTTCTCGTGTGTATTGTTTGCATTGTTTCTTTTACCTCTATTGTTTTCAGTATTGTTTGTTTTATTTAATATAGGAAGCGCCCAATCTGTGGAGCTACGTCGTGACGGTGAAATGGTACGCTACATCACCGACGAGCCGGAATACAGCTACGATAATCCAATATTCAACCAGTGAGTGTCCATGGTGTTAGGACTGTAATATTTTGCTGACCCTTACCGGCTATTAGAGTAAAGTTTTATCGTGTTGACAAACAGCTTCTTTAGCGATGCCATTTTAAGTGACACTCCACCTAATCCCCAACACTCCGAGTTCACCAAAATATCCAACCTCCAAATGTAAGAGGCGACTAACGGGATGGTCAGTTCTCACTTAGTTGACATGTGTCATCGTATCCCAGTTGATGCTCATAATGTTGATCACTGGATTGTCTGGCCCAGTTTCGATCATTTACAGACCGACGCTATATAGCTTAATTATTGCTTCTCCAAATACCACCTCCAGAATGACTTCTCTATAACTGTCATCGTAAAATGATTAATGTTTTGTATCACCAGGTTTGAAGACGAAATAATAATTCATCCCAATGACGAGCTTATTACCACGTGCCAGTACACGTCCACCTACTCCAAGAAGTGGGTCTACTACGGCGATGCCACGTCAGCGGAGATGTGTTTTACGTTGATCTTCTTCTACCCTACAGAGGCTATGCAAAACAAATACTGCATAAATTGGAAATCCATCGAGACCTGTGCCACGAGGCCGGTGATGGTCAACGGCTGCAACGCCTACGCGTTTGTCTACGGCTATGATCCAGATGGGACGCAACACTACCTGAAGGTCAAGGACAACTGCCATCAGGGCGGATCCTGCCACGACGACTGCAGAGCTGCTGTGACGGAGGCTAAGGCTCATCCCTGTCTGAAAGGAGGGGACATCGCCGACTTCGTTATAAACATGCTTCATGGGAGCACGGAAGGGTTGGAGTACCTCCGCTTGCTTGACACGTGTCCTACAGACAACGTCTTCCCCTGTCCTACGCCTAATGCAGGAGCTCAAAATACTTTCTCTACCGTTCTTCTGCTCCTGATACAGATGATGTTCTAATGATACAGATCCGTCGTACAATGGAAACTATTTTCTCCATAATGCAAAACATCAGTTAGCTTCATTTACCAAGAGTTTTGTATTTCCATGTGAACAATATTTTCGATTGAATTTTTGGGGTTTAATTCTTGTTCTTATTTGTCACAACTGTTGTATTAAAGAAGTTGTCAATCCACAAACATTCTTGATTGTCAATCCACAAACATTCTTGATTTGTTCCCCGTCATCATGCCATCTTTAGAAATAGTGCAGATTGTCAATATCACAGCTAACTCTTAAACATCCGGGGATATAACATCGTTAACAATGGGTGAATAGGAAAATGAATTTTGAAAGTTCTTGCTACAGGGTAATGATAGCTTTTGGAGAGTTGCCTATCCCCGAATAGTTTGTCTGTTTACAACACTGGTAGATCAGAATCTTCGTCGTGACAAGGCGAACGCTTTAACCACTTGGCTACCCCACCAGACTCTAAATAACTTGTTCACATGGAGTCGTTCCACGGCACTCAAAGACCAACGGGTGCGTACTTTGTCAATAGCATGTGTATATTTCTCTCCTGAAAAAGCAGGGTATGTCACGATGTTGGGTATTATTCACTGAATGAATTATTAATCGAGTGAAATGAGAAAACCTGTAGACGTTAGCCTGAAAGTTTGTAGAGCTGTTTTAAGATTAAACAGATTTCCTTTCAAACGAAGTTTCATAAAACCATTAACGTTCGCTCGCGCAAACGAGTCAATATGAGTTTATCAGGTGAAAACATAATCTTTGAAATTAGAACGTGCCCTGCATTGTCATCATACCATCTACAGCTGTTCTGCAACTACTTGCTGTACTGTCGGAGAGATAGCCCGGAGGTTATGGTGTCAGTTCGTCTTGCTTCGCGATGCGGGTTTCAAGCCCGACATGGTTGCAATGTGTGAAGCGCACTACTACTACGACTACTACGACTACGACGACTACTACTACGACTACGACTACGACTACGACTACGACTACGACTACTACTACTACGACGACTACTACTACGACTACGACGACTACTACTACGACGACTACGACTACGACGACGACTACTACGACTACGACTACGACTACGACTACGACTACGACGACGACGACGACGCTGAGTGTTCATTTGATTACGTCAGTCAAGTGCTTAAACTGAAATGTTATTTGTACTTGCGTTGAACAATACACTTAATGCATTACTTCAGTGGTTATTTTTTACCGACCGACGGGTCAAAATAATCATAAAATAACAAAATTATGACATGAATATTATTGGTTACATAGGGGCTGTTAATCATATGTGTTGCGATGCTTTTTTCCATGTATACATATTATAACAGTAGCGTCACAGTAAAACAATAAATGCAGGTACCCATAAAACGAAGGAAGGGTGTTGTTCGTTTCGTATGCAAAACAATATTGAACATGACAATAAACAAAACACACAGTATGGCTGTGTATTGGCAAAAATTTGTATTGCAATATATTGCGATTTAGGTGCCGGTATTGCGATACGTATTGCGATATATTGGGACCTTAAATATTTGACAGTGAGTGGCACTAATTGTGCATGTCATCCTATTTTCTACATTATAAGTCACTAAACATATATGTTATGGTTCTGATAACAGCAATCTCAAAATTAGGTTGCGCAGTCATGGATTCTAGTCTCCTTTTTATACAATTTATAGTATTACAGTATGCAGTTTTGTCATTCAATAGCGAAGTAAATCATCTGTTTTGAATGAAAGTATGTGTAGATTTTATTCTAAACCATAAAGATAATCACATAAACCTTATTTATGTTCTTTACCCAAGATACCGGTTCTCAGAAAAAATATTGCAATACGTATCGTTTGAAAAGCACACGCACGCACGCACACACACACACACACACACACACACGAACCAACAAAAAACCAACACCTTTGATTATTGTCATGTCCACTCTTTTTCAATTTCGGGGAGGTGGGGTAGCCTAGTGGTTAAAGCGTTGTCTCGTCACACCGAAGACCCGGGTTCGATTCCCCACATGGGTACAATGTGTGAAGCCCATTTCTGGTGTCCCATGATATTGCTGGAATATTGCTAAAGGCGGCGTAAAACCATATTCACTCACTCACTCAAAGTGGCGTGAAACCAAACTTAGGCGTCCGTATTATATTTAATCCGGTACGTTTAATGGCGTCTTTGATTATATACTACCCATCAAAAGTTTAGACTCACTGAAAGCACTCACTATATGTTATGTATATATATGTGGTTACATCGAAGATGAAATTCTCCACTAACCAACTACAAAGCTTATGCAGATGAAATGCACGAGGATGATGCATCAAATTGCCGAAAAGCTTCTGCAAATATCGTGCATAGGAACAGCTGCGTTTTGGTGTAAAGTTTTGTTAGGAACTTGCCAATTTTCACTGAGTTTCATCATTTATTGAACTCATGACAATAATCTTTTCAACGTTACAAGTATGTTTTACAATACATCAGTTCATGTGTAGACAGTACCTTAAACAGTATGGAATATTTTGCAAAATCTAGTTTAGGACAGTTGACTGAAGTAAGTGGCTACATTTACACTAGTGAGTCTAAACTTTTGATGGGTAGTATACAATCACTCAATAACGAACATGTATATGTGTGCGTGTGAACTGGAGTACCCAGCGGGGAATTCTACCAGGCTGACCTGATATCCATTGAAACAGAACAGATCAAGCTCATGTGAGGGTTGCTCTTTCCACAAATAACCGTGATCATTGTCATATGACTGCTACCACCTTGCGGGTAAACATTTCCGGTCACGTGGAACTAGCTTAGGGGGGTCTGGGGTTAAAGCAGGGGTGGTGTGAGGGTCGTGGAAAAGAGCCGGTGGATCATCTGATGCATATATCCAAATACATCGGTTTGATCGTGTGTTTTTCAGCGTTTATAAATCATTTGGGCTCATTTGTTGTTAATATATACTGAAAGGCAAAAGAAACGTCATAATATTGGAAATGACATTTGAGTATCAATGGAGTATTTGAACCGATTTTTTTAAATATACACCAGAAGTCAAGTTTGAGGAAACATGAATCGTGGTCGTATAGCCTGCATTGCCCAATAAAGTACTGTTTGAGATTGAAGTTAGAAATGTTTTTGTTTTTTGGAGAGGGGAAAAGTTCCCACAAAACACAACATTGAAATCGAGATGCACGTGCATCATAAATGCATTCAGGCATAAACTGCCGGCTTGAATGGCAATCGTTCACTTGTTTTCTGAACACAGCAGCTATGACTAGGTTCACGAGAGATCAACCACAACAAGCTATTGGACGTCTGCACGCTGCTCAACATGCTCGAGTCATTGCTAATGACTTCAGTTGCAGCGTACGAACGATAGAACGTCTTAGAGTGCGATACAACGCCACCAGCAGCACTGATGACCGTCCACGTAGTGGTCAACCCCGTGTAACAACACGTCGCCAGGACCGTCATATCGTCCATCAACACGTGCAAGACCTATTCGCAAGGGCCAGAGAAACAGCTTGGGTGACCATAGGAAACCACCAGCGACCAGTCAGTGACCTACCATTCGGCGACGTCTCCAAGCCAGGAACCTGTTTTGTCGATGTCCTGCCAGGAGACCCACATTCACCCAACGTCACCGCCGGGAACGTATCCAAGTGGACACAACAGCGGCAAAACTGTCGTGGGGGACAATGGAGAGGGGTCATCTTCTCTGATGAAAGTCGGTACTGCATTTCAGTGGCGTATTATTTCCAAAAAATAGGTTCAAATACTCCATTGATACTCAAATGTCATTTCCAATATTACGACGTTTCTTTTGCCTTTCAGTATATCTGTAGTATATAGTTTCTCTAAGAAGAACTCTTCACATTTATCAACTAGTTTAGATGTATATCATTTCAAAAACACTTGTTTCACATTTTATTTATCATTCAAAGTCATTTTTCATTTGTTCAGTCTGTAAACAGAAATAATCAGTGTCGTGCGAGTGAAAAGTACAGCTAGCCAGCATTAGATATGAGTGATGTCATTCAACCGATGACGTCATAATTGTCTCCAAAACACTGTAATGTTGTTTATATCGCTTGATCGTCCACTAACACTATATTCTGTGGAAGCGGTTTTGGGTGCTAAATAGTTAAATCGTCTTAAATGATACATCCGATACTATGTTTCGATTGATAAGATTTCATATCAGGCATTACTTGCTAACTGTGGAAGCACATGCAAGGAAAAGGTTTCTCAGCATGAGATTAAATGGATTCTGTCAAATCATACACAACCAAACTATCATTTGGGTTTTACAATCAATATTATACATGTTTGGTTGATTTGAACTCAAATGCCAAAGAGAATTATATTCACCTGTGATCACAGAAACAAATCGGAAAAGCGATGAATTTTTATAACATACACAACGCAAACGAAATGAACGAAACATTTATATGTTAGATATGCCACAATGAACAGAACCTAGTAATCTGTGGTCTGATTTCTATGGCGTATTTTCATTTTTGAATAGTTTTCTTTGGCAATAAGAAACTTTATTCTTTTGGGGTTTATTGAATGGATTTCTTTTTATCGCAGACTGTGTTATGCTGAGCCAGGTCTGATGTACATGTAGGAGGACGGTTGTGCTCACGAGTACATTTATCATTAATAAGGTCATAATTAGTTTCGAGTGTGGAGTTACTGCATATCTATTTTGGGACCAACGTATAATCAGTGTGGCTTCGCAGTATATTCCTTGGGGCAATATGTTACATTCATTATCACCTTGTGGTCTATTCACTGTGACGTTATGGTACATTCACTGTGACGTTATGGTACATTCACTATGGTATACTCACTGTGTCGTTTTGGTATATTCACTATAATTACTCGCCCGTGAAAGATACTGCTGTTTACGGCAATATTACGCTAGTGTAATACCGCAAGACGTATGACGTCATAACGATTTACAGATATGACGTCACAATGCTACTGCCTCTGTCACAATGGTATAAGACCTTGCTTAACTCACAGAAAGCTGAGAGTCATCACACTGTAGGCAGTTTCTATCATTTTTTGTTGGAGAGTAATAAACAGCATACTTAACTCGCTTCCATGAAATACCATTTTATTAAACTCGTGAAAGAAATCATTAACTCGTTTAATAAATATGGTATTACACGGAAGGTCATTTAGTATCCTCTACTGGTATACTCATTGTGTCGTTATGGTATATACACTATGCTATACTCACTATGACGTTATGGTATATTCACTATGGTATACTCACTATGACGTTATGGTATATTCACTATGGTATACTCACTGTTACGCTAGGGGAAAATTCACTATGGTGTAGTCACTGTGACGTCATGGTGTATTCACTATGGTATACACACTGTGTCGTTATGGTACATTCACTGTGACGTTATGGTATATTCACTGTGGTACATTCACTGTGACATTATGGTATATTCACTATGGTATAGTCACTGTGACGTCATGGTGTATTCGCTACAAGATGGTATACTCACGGTGACGTTATCATATATTCACAGGCATACTGACTGTGACGTCATGGTATATTCACTATGGTATACTCACTGTGACGTTATGGTATATTCACCATGGTATACTCATTGTGTCGTTATGGTATATACACTATGCTATACTCACTATGACGTTATGGTATATTCACTATGGTATACTCACTATGACGTTATGGTATATTCAATATGGTAAACTCACTGTTACGATAGGGGAAAATTCAATATGGTGTAGTCACTGTGACGTCATGGTGTATTCACTATGGTATACACACTGTGTCGTTGTGGTACATTCACTGTGACGTTATGGTATATTCACTGTGGTACATTCACTGTGACATTATGGTATATCCACTATGGTATAGTCACTGTGACGTCATGGTGTATTCGCTACAAGATGGTATACTCACGGTGACGATATCATATATTCACAGGCATACTGACTGTGACGTCATGGTATATTCACTATGGTATACGCAATGTGACGTTATGGTATATTCACTATGACGTTATGGTATATTCACTATGGTATACTCACTGTGACGTTATGGTATATTCACTATGGTATACTCACTGTGACGTTATGGTATATTCACTATGGTATACTCAGTGTGACGTTATGGTATATTCACTATGGTATACTCACTGTAACGTTATGGTATATTCACTATGGTATACTCATTGGGACGTTATGGTGTACTGACTATGAGAAAATGATGTTTTATATCATAAAATGGATCATTAAGATGAATCTGTATGTAAGTTCACCAAAATGAACATTCGCTCTTCATAGTATACTCAGCACAAAATTATGAAACACTGGCAATTTTGTCCAAGTATGGCTGTTAGAGCAGCGTCCTTAAGCCCGACAGGCCTCATTATGTTTCGATGTTGTCAGCACCTCTGACCGTGGGAGACATCAAAGTGGTAAACGCCTAAGATGGGTCACCGAGGGGATTCATCGACATCACCTGAAGATGATGTTACTCATGTTTTGCTTGTGTTTGTGTCGAGTAGGGTGTTTTAAATGACAGTTTTCCTCCAACGAGAGTAGCTGTGTATATTGACACTGGAAGCAGTGTAGGTGTGTGGAATGTGTCATAACATCGATAAACAGGCTTGGGAAGCAAACTGCGATAGACTTTCGCTCATTGCCCAAGGCCTAATTTGTGTTGTCCACTGAAGATGATGTTAAACAGTTAGGAGAATTAACAGTGCATGGTTAAAGCATATGCGTTGCATATTTGAAGTATGATAGTAGTTGAAGTTTCACACTCGAACCCGGGACTTTGACTTTAACCACTAGGCTACCCACAGTCCCTGTTGATGCTAGAGGTAAGACGCAAGTGATGCTAGGATTTCTAGGAGATAATAGATGTCGGCACGCGTAAGGGGCGTACAGGTGAAGTTTGCCACGAATCAGTCAACCCTGTCCCTTAGGCAGCGGGGTAGCCAAGTGGTTAAAGCGTTCGCTCGTTACGCCAAAGACCTGGATTCCCCCACATGGGTACAATGTGTGAAGCCCATTTCTGGTGTCCCCTGCCGTGATATTGCGGGAATATTACTAAAGGAGGCGTTGAACCAAACTCACTCACTTGCTACTAAGTCAACCCCCCACCCCCCCTCCCAAAAGCGCCCCTTGCGAGTTCATGGTGGTGGTGGTGATATTTTACGGCGACTTGGACCAATTGCGAGTACATACGTTAAGTGGATTGGTCTCCCTTTAATGTCAGGCGGATTTATAAAATACGTTATCAGTTTAAGCGTGGTAAACAAATACAGCAGTCGGCGTATATAATGAAAAGATAAATTATTTATGTCCGGATCATATGTCTTTTTTCTACACGCCTAAAATGTATGTCTCGATGAAGCGCTCCCTCTCGGAGACTAACGGGATCGGGTGGTCAGGCTCGCTGACGTGGTTGACACATGTCATCATATCCCAGGACACACAAAGGAGTATTTCCACATATTATCATGCCACGAACAGTTTAAAACTATAGGCGCGCACCGTTTACGGAAAAGGCGACAATTCGCTATTATCAGTATAACAGTGCCATTTGTTTTGAGGCCTGTTTCACACGCTACATATTTTCAACTTGGAAAGGGTCACTCTATCGCCCATTTTTAATGTCCATTATTATTCTAAGCTCATTAATATAACAGCACGACATTATGACAAATGGTCAAATCTGTTGTTTAGTAGTATCCAATTTTCAGTATGAATGGTGGTTGTATGAACGGCTGAAAAATCTAAGGTTTTCTTAACTAAAATATCTAAGCAAGTGACTGATATTTACATACCTTTTCCCAAAGCATATGGTTACCTAAAAGCTGAAAAAATGAAGGGAGAATAAAGGTTAAACGCACTTTCGCAATGTCTTATTAGTCAGAGCCGAGGTGACAAACACGGAACAATAGGGACAGTCTAGGCTTGAAATACTTCTTGTCTGTCTCGAGCATATACATACATGTATTAGATTCACCTTCACGAGAGAGTGTTTTCCGAGTGTTCATATCACGTGATCTTTGCCAGACCTATTTCACGGTACTGTATTTACAAAGGGAACAGTGGGTTAAATGTGTGTCATTTCTTACACTGGCACAGCCATGAGCGGGTGAGTGAAGCTTTTTCCTCTTTAATTTTACCGTTATATCAAACGGTGTGTGGCGAGCTGTGCAGTTATGTTGCACATGTGTCTGTCTGTATGTGTGTCTGTCTTAATTACATTATTACAGATAATCACCTCATTTGCTGCAGTATTTGTACTCAACATAACTACGTGCCAAATATATAAACCATATAAATGAATATATATAAACATATTTTCAAAACGACATATTATCAACGAGATACGTACATTACCTCGGAGTCTTTTGCTGCTGGAGTGCCTCAAGGTTCAGTATTGAGTCCACTCCTTTTTAACAACTACACCTGCCAGTTGTGGATATTGTGAGCCTTGATCCTCACATCCACCGGTACAGAAGACCATTTTTCTAGAGATAGATTCTAAATGAAGAATTCCACTTAGTCAAGTTTATGTAATGATCTTCAAAAAGCAATTTATACAAGTATGAATGGATAGGTGTTCTTCCTGATACAATACCCGTTCAGTATGTTACCATACGTGTGTACCCTTGTATATGCAGAGCTGTTCTGTCAAGTCAAGTCAAGTCAAGTATTTTTATTCCGTATATAGGCCACAGAACCATATACAGCATGCATACATTTGTTTACAAATATAGATACACTTGAAAGGGCATACATATCAATAATACACGTGTTATTTGTTCAAATAGATTTCTTGTCAGTATAAATATAATATTTAATATAAACATATATACAAATCTTTATAAACATTTAAAATGGAAAAATGTGTGGTTTAAAGAAAATTTATTGGAGTTTGATTGTTCTGATTTCATAAGCATGAAAGATATATTTACATAAATTTCTTAAAAGTGTTTCAGGGACTTAAATTTATAGTAGTTTGGTTGTTTCTGATATACATATGGCAAGTATTTTAATCTAAGGGAGTTATATTCAGTACATATAAAAATAAAATGATACTCATCTTCCACACCCAGCTTACACAATGGACAATTACGTTCTGCAACTTCAACATTTAACCATCTTCCCTCATTATACTGTAACCTTAATAACCCATATCTAAATCTGATCAAATATTTCGAAACTTTTTGTCCAAGATACATGATAAATATTTTTCTGGAGTTAACAGACTTTTAAACTCTCGGTAAATACGGTATCGTGAACTGTTATTCAATGTACAATTCCATGATTGAAAAAGCATACTCATGTTTTGCTTGTGTTTGTGTCGAGTAGGGTGTTTTAAATGACAGTTTTCATCCAACGAGAGTAGCTGTGTATATTGACACTGTAAGCATCGAGGCGTGTGGAATGTGTCATAACCATTTTCCCTCATTATACTGTAACCTTAATAACCCATATCTAAATCTGATCAAATATTTCGAAACTTTTTGTCCAAACAATTCCATGATTGAAAAAGCATACTCATGTTTTGCTTGTGTTTGTGTCGAGTAGGGTGTTTTAAATGACAGTTTTCATCCAACGAGAGTAGCTGTGTATATTGACACTGGAAGCAGTGTAGGCGTGTGGAATGTGTCATAACCATCTTCCCTCATGACAATTACGTTCTGCAACTTCAACATTTAACCATCTTCCCTCATTATACTGTAACCTTAATAACCCACATCTAAATCTGATCAAATATTTCGAAACTTTTTGTCCAAGATACATGATAAATATTTTTCTGGAGTTAACAGACTTTTAAACTCTCGGGTAAATACGGTATCGTGAACTGTTATTCAATGTACAATTCCATGATTGAAAAAGCATATTGATTGCAACAGTCTTGAATCTATTTACAAATGAAGCTGCATCACCAACTGTCTGAGACATCCAAACGTAACCAAATCCATGTGAAAAAAGTATTTCTCTAATATATGAAGCATATGTCTTATATCCACAGTTATCGTAATACATTTGCATTTTGTACACTTTCAAAGGAGTTCTATCTTGATGCATATGAATAACCTTTAACCAATATTTTACACAATGCGTTTATAAAGAGAGGATATCTTCCACACTCGCCATATACAATAGCAGTAGGTGTTTGAGGGCTGACATTCAAGAAACGTTTGCAAGCTGTTAGATGAACCTTTTCAATTTCATAAAATTTATGTATTCCCCATCACCTGTCCGTGACAGAAATGTGCCATCACCTGCCTGTGCCAGAAATGTGCCATCACCTGCCTGTGCCAGAAATGTGCCATCACCTGCCTGTCCAAGAAATGTGCCATCACCTGCCTGTGTCAGAAATGTGCTATCACCTGCCTGTACCAGAAATGTGCCATCACCTGCCTGTACCAGAAATGTGCCATTACCTGCCCGTGCCGGGAATGTGCCATCACCTGCCTGTACCAGAAATGTGCCTTCACCTGCCTGTACCAGAAATGTGCCATCACCTGCCTGTACCAGAAATGTGCCACCACCTGCCTGTGACAGAAATGTGCCACCACCTGCCTGTGCCAGAAATGTGCCACCACCTGCCTGTACCAGAAATGTGCCATCACCTGCCTGTACCAGAAATGTGCCATCACCTGCCTGTGTCAGAAATGTGCCATCACCTGCCTGTACCAGAAATGTGCCACCACCTGCCTGTGACAGAAATGTGCCACCACCTGCCTGTGCCAGAAATGTGCCACCACCTGCCTGTACCAGAAATGTGTCATCACCCTGTGCCAGAAATCTAGGCGTTATGCGGCAGAGTAACATGTCCATGGAACAACACGTACATCAACTTCCAAGAGCATCATTTTCGTCCAAATTCACAGCATCAGTGAAAGCTCAGTTGTCAAGCTTTTGTTGAAAACTCTGGCTCCATCATGGCTGGACCACTGTATCGATCTCCGCTACAATATCCCAACATCCCTACTATCTCATCTTCAGAGAGGCTGCGTGACTCATTACGCCTTCCAGATGCTCAAACCACATCTCTGTAACCTTGCAATACCCCCGCTGGTTACCAATCAAACAGCGCAAATTATTCTTCTGACTCACGACTGCATCTATTTTCCAATGAAATTGGCATATGCTGTTGGCTCGATGCATCCTAAACGTCATCTTACGTCAGTTAACTTGGAAAGGAGTTTTTATTAAAAGTAATGAAATTATATATAATACTGATTTTGTTCTCTCCCTTTTGACGCCTATGACCGATAAGATTCAGGAAAAACATGGCAAAGTATCCGGAGCTCGCTTTCGAAATCTTACCTTTGCACGCTATCCCTATTGCTCTTGGTGCCTTAAGTTTGTTGCCGGGGCGGTGGGGTGGCCTAATGGTTAAAGCGTTGGCTTGTCACGCCGAAGACCCGGGTTCGAATCCCCACATGGGTACAATGTGTGAAGCCCATTTCTGGTGTCCCCCGCCGTGATGTTGCTGGAATATTGCTAAAAGCGGCGTAAAACCAAACTCAGTCAGTCAGTTGTTGCCTCCAAATCTGTTGAGTGACATTGTGAGAGTTCACGGTGTTGTTGCTAGGAACACAGACACTCCTGTGTTTCGGAGTCTGATTGGACTGAACGGCATTTCTTGGGAGAAGTCCCGTAGGCAGTCTGGATTGCGGGTAAGCGGGATAAGGACCCTGAGCTAATGCAGTGCTTAACAAGCCTGACAGTTCCAGGATCACCCAAACCCTCTTTGCTGCTTACATCTAGACTTTTGATGAAAGCAAGGAATTCCACAGCTATTTTAAGCGTGCCAAGGTTGTTGGACAGAATCTGAAATTTGATTTTGATTTTGTGGAAGGCGATGTATTGCTGGACGGTACAGCGATGGGAGTAATATATACTTGGTGAAGTCCTTGACCAAGTCTGCCCAGAGTCGGTCATTTGTGGAGAAGCTTTCTGTGAAACCATTGCAAAGCATGCCAAATATGCGGATCTCGGCTTTGAAATGTCTCGCTTACATCCCAAGTACACTGTCGTCAGGCTCCCCATTGTTCTCGGTGCCCTTGGTTTGGTACCTCCTGATCACTTGGTGCAGATCAGGAGAGTGCCCGAGTTCTCCACCGGGAGCACAGCCCTTCTGACACTCTGGGTATTGCAGAAGGCTGCAGTGTTGGGGAGGCTACATATTCTCCAGAGAGTAAGTGGTGGGTTCGACTAGGCAGCGTTTCCTGGGAGAATGTCCATTCCCTGTCTGGACTGCAAGGGCCCTGAGCTGATGATGAGCCTTACCAGCCTGACTGTGCCAGGTTCACCCGACCCTCTGTTCTGCATACTTTTTTTAATCTGTAAAACATAATAATGGACGTTTGTAATGCATTGAACCTACCTACCCACGTGGTCCCATGGGATTGGGTGGTCACGCTCGCTGACGGGGTTGACACGTGCCATCGTATTCCAATTGCGTAGATTGATGCTTATGCTGTTGATCACTGGGCTGTCTGGATCGAACTCGGTTAGTTACAGACCGCCACCATAGAGCTGGCATATTGCTGCGTGCGGCGTAAAACATCAACCAACCGAAACAAATCGCATTTTAATCATTAAGCAATCTGTGCTGGCCATAACAGGCGACTTAACGATTTACGAGGTCAGAATCGATTTGTTCATTATATCACCCACCAGTTTACCTGATCATTTACAAGACGCAAACTAGTAGTCAGCTTAATGGCAGGTGCGACGTTAAACAGCAAACCCCAAACAAACAAAAAACAAATTAAACTGAAGAAATGCTTAATTCTAATACGACCCACACATGAACTGCTTGTTCTACCCTGTATGTCCAGTGTTTGAATATCCTATAGTAGTAACGTAGTGAGCAAAGACACCATGAACCTTTAGCAAACATCCTTTGAGTTCACCAAGCTCTGTCTGTGACTCCGTATATAGTTATGAACAAGCAAACTAAAGCCGGTCTTTCAATGGTTTGGCACTTTGTTTGGACTGACATTGCAAGTACAACCCTGACCTGGTTTAATGTTTGCAATCGCTCGAATTACAAAGAGACATTAGAGTGCGTCTTAGTTGGGCTGTACTGAGTTTCGATAGCCTTCTGTTACCCTTCAAGTGAAAGCGTCACAGACAAATGAAAGGGGTGCGCCGTGGCGAGGTTTGAAGGCGTATGTATTTTGCCATGCTCTGTAAATATTTCGCAATGTTTTTACATTGGTTCACGGAGAGTGACCACACACACACACAAACCCACGCACACACACACGCACGCACGCGCAGAGAGAGAGAGAGAGACTGAGAGAGAGAGAAGAGATAGATAGAGAGAGAGAGAGAGAGAGAGAGAGAGAGAGAGAGAGAGAGAGAGAGAGAGAGAGAGAGAGAGAGAGAGAGAGAGAGAGAGAGAGAGAGAGAGAGAGAGAGATACTGCTTGTATACCAGAGGCTTATTGTTCACAGGCTATATACTTATTTTGCCGACCAATACAATGCCACCCTTTTGTTTCCGCCAGGGCACTGACAATTTTCCTGCTGCTTCTGGGGGCGTGTGCTGTGTCAGGTTATGGAGAATACCGGAAGCGCCTTCCAAATGGCGAACGGGTCCCTCATCCCTGTCGGGCCAACTTCTACTGGCATGGCGTGGGTCACATCAACGCTCTTGGTGGAGGAAACCGAAACGACTTTGGCAAAGACTTCGCTTCTCAAGGTCACATGGTATATATATTTAATATGTATCTATTTTGTGAGACATTTGTCATAATATCTCCATATCCGTGATGGGATTCGAGTGAGTGAGTTTAGTTTCATAGTTTCAATATTACAGCAATATCACGGCGGGGGAATACCAGAAATGGGCTTCACACATTGTACCCATGTGGAGACTCGAACCCGGGTCTTCGACGTGACGAGCGAACGCCTTAACCACTTGACTACCCCACCGCCCCTTAAACCGTCTGAGCAAAATGTTTATGCCCTCAACACATATTAAAACTGATGCGCCCTATGTTTAAAACTTTTCAGCAAACTATTCACATCCTTATTTCTCAACACAGTTTAAGACAGATGTGTCATATGTTTACGTTTGAGCAAACTATTCATATCCTTATGTGGTAACACATTTTAAGACCAGGGCTCTGTGTTTGAGAAAACTCTCGTGACCATCAGTCGCAAAATGTACCTTGACGTTTCTGTTTGTTCACAATGGTTTTTATTCTGTTTAAGTGGACACAAGATTTGTGCCGTTTAGATTCTGATGGTGACGGTATGACCAACGGCCAAGAGCTGGGTGACCCGAACTGCGTGTGGACTGCAGACAGTGGTAATCTCCCCTCACGGACAACCGACATTACTCACCCAGGTATACAATAGAAATCACATTGATTTCATCCGTATTGACATGCAGTTGCTTGTTTTGGAAATGAGGAATGTGTCAAGGGTAAGTGGATCAATCAGTGGAACCCAATCAGCGGTACCCAATCAGTGGTACCCAATTAGGGGTTCAAATTGGTGACCGTGATATGGCGGGGATATTACTGAGGCGTAAATAAAATAGTCCTGTATGGAATCCTAGAAGGGACTTTATCCCGTTAAAAAATGCATATTTTACACAACTTAGTTAGGGCGACGAATCGACAATGCGACATATTTGTAACCTGTCATTATGTCGCATAGTCGCTCTATGGTTGAATTGAAAATATTCTTCAAACAGCGACAAATGGACCAAAATGTCGCGAGGTTGCATTGTCGCAAATTTTGCCACTTTTTGCTTGTTTTTGTCAGTGCGACAACGCGACAATGTCCCTTCTAGGATTCCATAGTCCTGATCACGCAAGGAACTATCCTGTGGTCTTTAAGAATATATATCTCGTCCCTTAGATGATACCAGGATCCGCTCATCGTCGGTGCAATTGTCATGTTCGCACAATGATAAATACAACTATTGAACCTTTTTTCGCAAGTGTTTGACTAATTTAAACATTGACTTTGAAAAATGATTGCCTTTTAAAATCGCTTCAAGTTACTAGGATCATTAAATCTACATTACTATCAGCTGAGGACTGAATAACTCACTTCAAGCCATTTGATGAACGTTTGATTAAGCTTCGATGTACGGAATCTATAGCACCCAAAAATAGAACTCATCGTATGTGCATGTGCACACGTTCATACAATACTAGTTCGGTTTATGGAGAACGACCTTCTATATATTCCAGGTGTGTGTGACCCTTTTGACTCCCCTGCCTGTCAAGCGAAGAATGCGTGGGTTTCGTGTAAAGGGTCAGAACTGGAGTGCGATGCTCTCAACGCACCAGGTAAATCGTTCAGTTGCATTCCCGAATGTATGTGCAATGCTTTCATCGTTTACACGTTGATTTAAGTGTGAAACGAAAGGGTATGTTGTATATCTGGACCCGCCAAGTAAGTATGCTCATTCATTCATTCATTTATTCATTCATTCATTCATTCATTCAGCCTTCAAAAAATATGATGAACCTCACTCACTCTAATACCTACCCAAATAATGCACATAGTGTCGTTCTTAAGTCGTCATCTCATCCTTCACAGATGTGAGGAACTTCACAATCCGTTTCCCCGAAACCGACGTGCCCGCCGAGGACACCACCTACATCTGCATGATCTTCGACGTCCCCTCTGACCAGGACTACCACTACATTGGAAGCAAGCCTCTCATCGACAACGACAACGTCATGCATCACGTCGTAGTCTACGGCTGCTCTGACACATCAGGTGCGTCTTTCAACTGAAACCAAATCCAGTGTATTCAATGCAGTGATGATTATAACATGGGAACATTTTCTTTATGATTTGCAATGTCTGGGAATTCAGGTTAATCATAATGACCGTAAGTGACGACATAAAAGATCGGGTGGCCAGCGTCGGCAACGTCGTTATATTGTTTCATCGTTCTCCGATGATTCATCGTTGCTCATTATATCAACCATTGGGTCCTGATGCTGAGTGTGGCAGCAAAGGTACAGAAATATTACCTTCCTTAAAAATGGTGAGCTGTATACATGTATATATATCTATCTTTGTTTGCAGAGGAACTACCAACAGAACCATACAAATGTGGTATGGATGCTGGGAAGGGATGCACAGGGAGTCTAGGGGCTGGGCAGTTGGGTCTCCTGGAGAATGCCTCAATGACAACTTTGGACTAGTTTTTGGAAAATCAAAATACAAACGGTTTGCCCTGGAGGTACTAGTGACGACATTTCTTTCATTTATATTCATATAAACTGAGTCAAAAAAGAAACTTCACAAAATGTAATTTGAAAAATAACGAATAATGTTTCTCTGATGATACATCTATGTATCCGAAATGGGATCCCTATCTTTCGACTCTAGAAAAACGTTAGCAAAACCCACTCAAACCCATCCATTTGTCGTGCAAATGACGTTAGTGCCAAATCAGGTTTTGCACGTGCAGTCGATCACGTGATCTTCGCATCGAAGTTGTTCTTCATATGCACGTGTTTGCATTGGCCTCAAGAATTGAAAAAAACACTTTTAAACCACAGTTCTAACGGTACTTGAAATGCCACGATTGTCAAATGTGCAACGTGAACGTGCCGTTGGCATGTTACAAGCGGGAACATCAGTTATTGACGTCGCAAGAGCAATGGGATGCAGCCGTCGTACTGTGTATGACTTGCGAGGTCGTCTACAACAAACTTGCACCACTTCTGATCGCCCAAGGTCGGGTCGTCCACGTGTGACGTCACGAGCAGAAGACCGTCAAATCGTCCTACGTCACCTACGTGACAGATTTCTGCCGGCTACACGAACCAGGGCTGAGATGTTTAGAGGTCGACTGTCCTCACAGACCATTCGAAATTGGTTGCGGGCTGCCAATCTCCAATTCTCGACGTCCATATCGTGGGCCAATATTGACGCCGTTTCATCAACGTCAACGTCTGCTGTGGGCCCAACGTCACCCCCAATGGACCCAGAGAGACTGGAATCGAGTCGTCTTTAGCGATGAATCCAGGTTTACCCTCAGATTGGCGGACGGCAGGCATAGAGTCTGGAGATGACGTCGTGAACGGTATGCCCAATGTTGTGTACAGGAAGTCGACAGATTCGGGGGCGGAAGTTGCATGGTGTGGGGATCTTTCTGTGGGAACAAGCGTTCCCGACTTCTGGTCATCCGTGGAAACCTCACAGCTGCTGCTTACCGCGACCAGGTGCTCACCCCTGAACTCGTTCCTTCATGGCGGCTCATGGCCCAGGTCTACAGTTCCAGCATGATAATGCTCGGCCGCATACCGCGATGTTGACACGAAATTTCCTTCAAAACGCTGGAATCAACGTCATGGACTGGCCATCGAGGTCCCCTGACCTTAATCCAATAGAGCACGTTTGGGATGCACTTGGGAGAAGGCTTCGTGGTCTTAGGAACCAACCTCAGAATTTGCAGGAACTTGGCGCTGCCTTGCAAGAGCAATGGCGCAGAATCCCCAACCATGTGTTCACAAGCATCAGGCAGTCGATGAGGAGACGGTGTTTGGCAGTGGTGAATGCGCGGGGCGGCCATACACGATATTGAACTGAGAAATTTCGCATTTTTATTCTTGTGACTTGACATTCTGTATACCCATGTTTTGAAACGACGGTGTAGCCTAATGGAACTTCTAATGGCACTGTCAGTGTATCGAGTACATTACACAGATCTCAGCAATGAAATAATAACAATTTAACCATCTTACCATCTCTTGTTCTTTTATAGTGCCCTTAAGAAAGAATGTGAAGTTTCTTTTTTGACTCAGTATATATATATATATATATATATATATGTTCATACACTCATATATATTCTTTGTTACTTGTTTAAGGCTGCACACAGCGCATTCTGTGCCAGATAAATAAGCAGTTCATACAGGCTCCAGTACGACCTTTGTGTGTATTTCCATCACAAGTTCTTTCCAACCTTGCCAAGATACACGTATACCAGTCTATTACATAACGAGTTCGTTCTATCCTTGCCAAGACACACAGATCCCAGTCCATTACATAACAAGTTCTTTCCAACCTTGCCAAGATACACGGATACCAGTCCATTACATAACAAGTTCTTTCCAACCTTGCCAAGATACACGTATACCAGTCTATTACATCACAAGTTCTTTCCCACCTTGCCAAGATACACAGATACCAGTCTCTAACATCACAAGTTCTTTCCATCCTTGCCAAGATACACTTATACCAGTTATACCAGTCTATTACATAACAAGTTCTTTCCAACCTTGCCAACAATACCATTCCAACGCGAACAAATACGCGATACAATACAAACCCATCACATCATATTTTTCTTTTCAATTTTTAGCAACAACACTCCCCCACCCCAACCCCACCTTGGTATTATTGTCATATCCACTCTTCTTCAGTTTCGGGGTGGTGGGGTAGCCTAGTGGTTAAAGCGTTGTCTCGTCACGCCGAAGACCCGGGTTCGATTCCCCACATGGGTACAATGTGTGAAGCTCATTTCAGGTGTCCCCCACAGTGCTAAATGTGGAATAAAAACTCACTCACTCACTCACTCTCCACCACTGTGTATTATTTTCATTTCCATTCTTTCTCAGTTTCACTGGAACAACCCGAACGAAGTGTCAGGCTGGAAGGACAGTTCAGGAATGACGATCTTTTACACCCCCAACTTACGAAAAAATAATGGCTCAATTTTGTCACTCGGTCAGATGAACCTAGCAATCCCCCCTGGACAATCAGAGGTCACGTTCAGAGGAGAATGTACATCTGAATGCACACAAAAACTTATGACAGAGCCCATCTATGTCCCAACAGCCTTGAATCATATGCATTATTTAGGTAAGTAATGTACATCTGAATGCTTGGTTGGTTGTTTAACACCGCACACAGCGGTTGAAACATGTTATCGTATCCGAATTGCGGTGATCGATGCTCATGCTGATGTCAACTGGATTGTCTGGTCAAGACTCGATTATTTACAGAGCGCCGCCATATAGCTGGAATATTGCTGAGTGCGGCGTTAAACAACAACCAAAACCAAACAAACCTAGCCCTCTACAGTAATGTGCCAGATTATGACAGAGTCAGTTTGGATTCAAATGTGAGAGTCAAACGTGACATATGTTATATTGGGGATTACACTTTCTCCATAAAGAACAGATTCCAGTACTTTTGGGGGTTGGGTCCCACCAGGGATTCGAACTGCCACTGTCAGAGTGAAGCATAGAACTGGTGAAGTTAGAATATCCTCTGTTACCTTAGATGTCAACGTAATTGCGTAGATCGATGTTCATGCTGTTGATCACTGGATTGGCGGATCTAAACTCGATTATTTACAGACCGCCGCCATATAGCTGGAATATTGCTGCGTTCGGCGTAAACAACAAACCAAACCCACTTAGCCCCTCTGGATTAATGTGCTAGATTATGACATCGCTGCATTCAGCCTAATCGGACAACTTAAATCAGGAAAATCTTTCAGAATGAAATTACGACCCGCATCTCAAGCGACAAGTACGTCACGCACTGTCATGTAAAATACCTGTACAAAGTTTCAATGCACGGGCCCTGAATTATAAAAGGGGTTCATTCCTTAAGGCAGATATGTAATATCGGATGCGATTTTCTGGTAAAACACAACTGAAACATTAAAGGAAATGTGAAGGATGCGTAATGAATTTGTTCTTTCGATCATAAACTCAAAATATATCTGGAGCTGTCCGGTGAACGTTTGCGACGGTCTCATAAGGGCACGACAAAATGCAAATAAACAGTCCCTTTAAAGTGAAATCAAATAGAGTCATGAATCCACACATTCTCATTTTGAGAGTAGGACGTGACATATGTTATATTTGAGATTACACTTTCTCCGTAAAGCACAGAATCTAGTAAAGTTTGCTTTAAGTCTCACCCGGGATTCGAACTCACGCTGTCAGAGTGAGGGACAGAACTGGTGAGGCCAGATTATCCGCAGCTAAGTACACTGTCTAGCAAGACAATCAACATGCACAGAAACATCAGATGTGCCTATCACTTGTGAGTTAATGAACTGAACGCTCTATTAGGCAAATAACTAACTTTAAATGAATGAATGAATGAATGAATGAATGATTGATTGAATGAAATAAGGAAGGAAGGAAGGAAGGAAGAAAGGAAGGAAGGAAATAAGTAGGTAAGTATAAAGCACAACTGCGACAACGGACTAATTTACACAGAGCGCATATAAAATGTTGTACCGTAGAATAAGAAGTAAACTTTCCCTTTTGACTATTCTAACATTGATGTCTTTCAGTGGCATTTAGAAGTTGTACATTGATGTCCAAGATATTTTTATGGATTAAACTTCTTTTTTAATTTCTCTCACAACGTTTCGAGACCATTCCAGGTCCCTTCATCAGGTGAACTGGCAGTTAGGGCTATGACGTCGTCACTATGACGTCATAACTGAGTTATGACGTCACAATGCAAGTGACATCACAGTACACTAGGAATAGTACTGTATAAGTGAGTTAGTTACATATTTCATCATTATGTAACTAACTCACTTATACAGTACTCTCCCTAGTGTACTGTTATGTTACATATTTCATCATTACGTCACTAACTCAGTTATGACGTCATAGTGACGACGTGTCACTTGCCCTAACTGCCAGTTCATTGATGAAGGGACCTGGAATGGTCTCGAAACGTTGTGAGAGAAATTAAAAAAGAAGTTTAATCCATAAAAATATCTTGGATATTCTAACATTGTTATTGTTGCTGCTTCCAGACTGGCATCATTAGTAAATGGTAAATGGTTTATCTTTAAAGGTAGATCAGCGTCCGTAGAGCTGAGGCGAAATGGACAAAGGGTCCGCTATCTGACCAATGAATCTGAGTACAGCTATGACCAGCCTCTCTACTTCAAGTGAGACCTTATTAGCTTTGAGAATCAGGAATTGAACTGTTCAACATGAACCAATGTCTTGGGAGAAAATTAAAAGGTTTTAATTGTTGGGTTCGGTGACTGCTGACATCATTGTATCACGTGATCGTTACTCATAATATCGATCACTTGATTTTCTGGTACGGACGCGATTATTTACAGACCACTGTCATATACTTGAACAATTGCTTGGGTAAAACAATAAATAGTCATCGTCAGCTGTAACACAATTGGGTTGTAACGACCAGCATATTTACTGAAATTCTGAATTGCTACATACACATGTATTTTCTTACCTCATACTTTTTATCGCTACAGCTATGACGATCCAGTTGAGCTTCTTCCTGGAGACAACTTAGTGACCACCTGCAAATTCGAATCGACGTATAAGAAGAACTGGGTATTCTATGGCGATGGAACATCAGATGAAATGTGCTTTGGGTTCCTTTGGCACTACCCAGAACATGCTCTGAAGAATGGCGTGTGTGTGTCGTGGAAGAGCATCAATATTTGTGGGCGTGAGAGCCTCATTGAGGAGAACTGCAACGTCTGGGAATTTGTATTTCAAGTCAATGCTGAGTCTAAGGCGCTCTTCAAGGCCGTGACCGTCAACTGTAATCTCCTGTCCGATTTGTGCACCCCCGAATGCAAGATGGCGGTGATGGACATCCTGAAACACCCTTGCTTAAGTGGAGGCAATGTCTCAGACTATCTCAGAAGTCTCATGCGACAATCCAAACCTGGGCTGGAGTTCCTCGGCAAGCTGGCAATGTGCGATGTGAATAAGAATGACTTTAACTATCCCCAATCCGGTGGCACAGGAACCCATATGGCCTCCCTGACGTTGATCTTCCTCGCGGTGATCATGGCTTAGATTCAGAAGACACGTTGAGGTTTTAATTCTTTCCAAACCTGTGGCCTCGACAAAGTTTTGGCTTTTCCATGATTTAGTCTTTTCTAAAATGTTGGCTTGCATTTAAAGTCAGATGTAGTACTATTCTCGGTGTATGGCAGTGTTAATGAAAATACCCCAAAACCCGGGCCCAAGTAGTCAAGATATTTCTGATATTGGACAATTATTAAACGCTTGGATTGGCAGTTTTTGGAGAAAAAACCCCAGAAGCTTCAGAAATGCATGATGGTATATTTGAAATGTACTATGAATATTAGCAAATCAATGACTTAGATGATGCGTTTAGTTTGGTGATTGTACTCAAGACGGCATAATCACGGTTTTAATTAACGATGATATTTTGTAGTAAAAATAGTAAACAGGGAATCTTAGATGTCATTTCTGAACATTTACAGTACTATTTACATCTATTGTGATATATCCTTCTTACTGTGCTACCGTTGAGGTAACCTGGAGGTTAAGGCGTTGGTTTTTCTTGCTTCGCGATGCGGGTTTCGAGCCCTACATGGTTGCAATGTGTGAAGCGCACAGAGTTTATCATAGTTTACAACTACTACTACTACTACTACTACTACTACTACTACTACTACTACTACTACTACTACTACTACTACTATTACTACTACTACTACAACTACTTCGAGGATGATTACTACAACTACTGCAACAACAACAACAACTACGACGACTACTACTACCGATTCCAAGTTTCATCCATATGTCTTTGTTTTTCGGTTCTTTTGAATAAAAGTACATATTTTTGATATTATTAAGCAATTCCTTTACACACTTTGAATAAATAATGTTAACGCACATGGTCTACATTTTGTTGACAGTTTGCCATTCTCTACTCCAGTGTCGTCCTATTGCTACACTCAGCAATATTTTAGCCATATACCCGCGGCCTGTCGAATCTGGACTAGACAAACCATCAACGTGATGAACAACGTGTGTGAAAGATGACAACAATCAGACTGCTCATGATGAGGAGTGTGGGTAGCCTCGTAGTTAAAGCGTTCGTTCGTCACGACGAAGACCCGTGTTCGATTCCCACAATTTTTCAAATTGGTGTCCCTTGTCGTGATATTGCTGGAATATTGCTGAAGACGACGTAAAACTTAACTCACTCACTCACTAGTATTACTTTAATCATCTACTGGGGTGTGTGTAACGTTGCCGGAGATATACCGGTCGGTCAGCTTGTGTTCTTCTGACATTATCAACAAGTTCTATGGTATGTGGTCTTGTGCATAGAGCTCAGGTCACAAATCAGGTGATGTTAAGCAACGTTGGTCACGGACAGTCCTTGGATGGGTGACCGTTTTCAGCAGCTTGACTCCTGTGAGCTTCTATGACTTCAGTCCTGTCCCACAACAAAGCACACGTGACACATGTGGTCTAACCTTAGGCAAGTGAGTTTGTTTAAAATTGCCTCTGTTCACCCTCAGTGAATGGGTACTCGGTCGGATAAGTCATATAACTGTTCACCTTCTAGTGTCATACAGGCAGTTTGGCTTATCCGGGGTAATTATGTCTCTGCGCCTTGAGCATGGTCATGGTCGTACCATGGATGGACCTCGGAGTCAAAGCCACAGGCATGGCGAATACGATAGTAGGTGCAGCAAGCCATGCCATCATGTTGTTTAAGATATGCTGTTTGTGCCAAGGAAGGACATCCACTGACAAAGTGTTGGACAGTCTCTTTATTTTCACTGCACAATCGACATTTCATATTGATATTTTCTTTAAGAATCACAAATAGGCGATTGTGAGTGGGAAGTGACTGGTCTTGGGCAGCAAAAAGAAAGCCCTCTGTTTCACATTTAAGACCAGCCGACTTCATCCAGGCGAAGGAGTCGGTGGGATTGCTGTTCTGCTCCATACACTGCATGTACAGACGATGCAATGGCTTCTCAGAATACGTTTCCACAAATGACCGACTCTGGGCAGACTTGGTAAAGGACTTCACCCGTTTTAGTCCTATCGCTGTACCCTCCAGCAATACATCGCCATCAACAAAATCAACATCAAATTTCAGATTCTGTCCTTAAAATAGCTGTAGAATTTCTTGTTTTCACCTTGAGTCTTGATATGCATCACCAAAGGATGATCCGTAAAATAAATATGTGCAAAAGTACACAATAAAATTCTATCATGAAGAGCTTCCACATTAATCAAACCTCCCGAACTGATTTTCATATAAAAACGATTAAGAGAGGAATGATGGTGGTGGGCTCTGTTATCAGATATGATCCTTCTGGTCAGGCGGTCAAGACTCTGGATGTCTTGTTTTGTCAAGTCAACTACTCCAAAGGAATAGGAAAGAACTGGCACAACAAACGCATTGGTGGCTTTGACCTTGTTTCGAGCATTCAGCTCCTGAGCTCCAGATTTTCTTTAAGCTAGATTTGTACTCGGCCAGAAGTTTGTCTTGAATTTGGGCATTCTGGAGCTTGTCTCGAACTTGCATTCCAAGAGAGGTGTAGGCCCGATCTTCCACAAAATGCTCCATAATCCCCGACCCCCTCCCCCCCCCCCCCCCCCTCTCCTGCAACTTGACCGATCCACCATTAACTACCTTGCCACGTTTCAAATGAAGAGTATTTTCTTACACACCCGTGGGTGAGAAACCCATGTGAGAAAACTGGTATTGCACATATGTGTACGGTCGATTTCCAAGCCCGTGAATGGCTACTCCATGATGATGGCCTAGGGTCAGATTATGACGGATTACATTCTAGATTAAAATTCAATCATAAGTTTCTCGTGCTTCAATCGAATGCAGACCTGTTACGTGTGCCAAACAATATCTGTTTAGCTGTCGCCTACCTTATTTATGCGACTGTCTTGTAAGTATGCATGTATGAAATAAACCGAACTTAGTTTAGATAGTAACATGTATATTTTCTTTTCTTTATTTCCTTTGTCGTCTGCTACCGGAGTTGCTGCAGATTATGCATAGTCACGACTTCAAAATGGCTTCAACAATAAGTAACATCTGTGTAAACGATTACGTGAGGATCGATGGTAAAGACAAAGGGCGTTTTATCTCCATTGTGGCTCCAGCTGGAACATACAACATGTACAATATTAGAACTGATACAGGAGAGATGCGACAGGTTTCAAGGTATCGCCTTAGGAAATTACCTGACACGGTAACGTCAGTGCCAGTTTGTGGTGAGATCGATTTACCTACTGACTTAATTGATGAACTGATGAAGGATGATTTTGTTACCGATGAACCTGGTGATTGTAACGATACAGATCGATCCCCAAACCCTGGACAACTATATGATCATTTTCAAATTGACAAATTCGTTCATGACTATCAGAACCGAAACACACAACGTAAAACAATGTACAACATGAGGCGTTTGCAAGGGTTCATGATTGCAAATGGCGACACACGTCCTATCGAGTCCATTCAACCAACAGAACTTTGGGACAATTTGTGTACATTTTTTATTAGCCTCAGAAAGGAAGATGGTAGCAATTATGAACCATCTACAGTTCGCGGGATGTTGTCCAGTTTTGACAGGTACCTTAAGTCAAAGCACTACTGTTCATCACTTATCAATAATTGTGAATTCGAAAAGTTAAACACGGTCATCAAAACCACAAAAAAAGTCCTAAAGAGTGAATGAATGGGTAACCTACCTCGCCGTGCTGAATCGCTCACTGACGATGACATTCACAAACTCTATGAAACAAAACAACTAGGTCCTCACGATCCCAAATCCATTTTGAACACCATGTGGTGGAACAACACCACTCATTTTGGAATCCGTTGTGTCAAACCACACACTGACATGAAATGCGGGGATGTTGCACTTAAAACTGACTAAGATGGTAGAGAATTTCTTGAATTCACAGAGAGGCAGTCGAAAACATGCCAAGGGGATAATCCTTTGGGTATCTGTAACATGCACCCCAAAGCTTGGCCGACTAATGATGAACGTTGTCCAGTATCCATGTACAAGCTGTACTCGAGTCTCCGTCCTGCAGGGTACTCCAGTCCAGATACACCTTTCTATATTGCCATTAACACCAAGGAACCATCTAGCAGATTCCCCTGGTTCAAACGTCAACCTGTTCGTATGAATAAAATGAGTTCTATTATGAGACGATGTCAAAACATGCTGGCTTTGAAAACAGGAATTTCACAAACCATTCAGCAAGAAAACTCCTTGTCCAAAAACTGTCTGATGAAAATATTCCTCCAACTCACATTATGCAGATATCAGGCCATCGTAACATGCAGAGTGTAAACAACTATAGTCAAATTTCATCCTCGCAACACCGAAACATCAGTCACATCCTTAAAGGCAGTGTCGGGCGCCGAGAAAGCAAGCATGCTAAGTCAACGAAGAGTAGCTTCCCTTCAACTGTGAACGTAACCTCCGGGGTGTCACAGTCCAGCACAAAGGTTACGTTTAATGACAAACTCTCCTCAATATTTTCAGCTCCGGTGTATGGGGGTATATTCAACATTAACTTTTACGGAAGTGCAAGTCCCACACGCGCGAAGAAATCCAAGCGATCCTCCGATGACAACTGTATTCAAATTGAATGAGCGTCACCTAGCACATGTTCGGAACGATAATAATGACGTCACACTGTGAAATTACTTTCACTTGACAGAGAACCATATACAGTTGCAAAGTCATGTGTTTTGAGCGTTTAATATTAGTTCTTTGATCTTATCTGTTTACATCATCGTTGTTGCCTTAAAAATGCACAAATATGACTGATACTCTTTTGTGGAGGGTTACACAATGCATGTGTAGTAAGTAGTCTGCTGAGTGACGTCACTCATTCATGATGTTGTGTTATGTATTAATGTGCTGCTACAATCAGAGAAAGGGCAAAATATGCATCGATTTGATCCAAAAGTGGTGTGATTTTCGGTGTGTAAGAAATAGATTACTGTACTCGTGTCTGTCAGATACCATTTATCTTACAACTCGTTGTAAGATAAATGGTATCTGACAGACACTCGTTTAGTAATCTCTATATATGTTATGGCTCTGATAACAGCAATCTCAAAATTAGGTTGCAGTCTTAGATTCTATTTTCCTTTTTATACAATTTGTTGCATTAAAATATGCAGTTTTGTCATTCAATAGCGAAGGAAAACATCTGTTGTGAATGGAATTATGTGTAGATTTTAATCTTAACCAAAAAGATAATCACAAAACTTCATATATGTTCTTTACCCAAAATACCGGTTCTCAGAAAAAATATTGTAATACGTATCGTTTGAAAAGCGTATTGCGATATACCGGTATACTTGTAATACCTAGACTCATGGTAAGTCTCTGAATATATATAATTTTGATAGTAACAAACAAACCCATTTAAATTGAAAAGGAGCTCCAGGGAGACCAGAGATTTGCCTGAACCTGACTGGCTAGACTTGCTTTATTTAGGGCTTTAGCATTGCAGAGAGGGCTTGGCAGTAGGGAAAATAATGTGGTTCAGGGACTGTGAGACAGACTATGGTAATACCGTGTAGCCCTAATACACAGACAAAATATTGTTCATGAATTATCAAACACTGTTTTCTTTTATGCATCTATTATAGTGTGTTGAAGGATTGATGGCGGTGGGATAGCCTAGTGGTTAAAGCGTCCGCTCGTCACAACGATGAACCGGGTTCGATTCCCCACATGGTTACAATGTGTGAAGCCCATTTCTGGTGTCCCGTGATATTGCTGGAATATAGCTAAAGGCGTCGTAAAACCATATTCACTCACTTTCTCAAAGCGGCATGAAACCAAACTTAGGCGTCCGTTTTAGATTTAATCCGGTAG